GCTATTGGGAGGTGGTGGAAACACTGGGAGATGGGCCCTTGTGGGAGAAAGGTAGGTTATTGGGGGCATGTTCGTAAAGGAGAAAATGGGACCTTGGCACCTTCCTTTCCCTCTGCTTCCTAGCTGCCATGGGGGTAAACAGGCCTCTGCTACCATGTACGTCCACTCATGGCATACTGCGTCACCACAGGTTCAAAGCAACAGGGCCAAATGACCATAGGCTGAAACCTGTGGAACTATGAATCAAAAGAAACCTTTTCTCCTTTAAGTTGATTATCTCAGGTGTTTTGTCATAGTGGTAGGAAGCTGACCAACATAACAAAAAATTTACCATCTTAAATATACAGTTCTGTAGCTTTCAGTACATTCACACTGTTGTACAATTACCACCCAAATCTCCATCCATCTTCATATAAGCCAACTAAAACTTTGTACACATTAAACACTAACTCCCCATTATTCTTTATTCCCCAGTCCCTAGAAACCATCATTCTACTTTTCTTTCTTTTTTTTTTTTTTGGTACTGGGGATTGAACTCAGGGGCACTCGACCACTGAGCCATATCCCCAGCCAGCCCTATTTTGTATTTTATGTAGAGAACAGGGTTCTCACTGAGTTGCTTAGGGCCTCACTAAGTTGCTGAGGCTGGCTCTGAACTCATGATCCTCCTGCCTCTGCCTCCTGAGCTGCTGGGATTACAGATGTACACTACTGTGCTCGGCTTCATTCTACTTTTATGTCTATAAATTTGACTATTCCAGGAACATAATTTAAATGGAATTATGTATGCACTGTTTGTCCTTCTGTGACTTGATTATTTTACTTAGTGGAATGTCCTCAAGGTTTATCCAGGTTGTAACATGTGTCAAAATAAATGTGCTTGCCAGGCACAGTGGTGCACGCCTGTAATCCCTGCAGTTCATGAGGTTGAGACAGGAGGATTGCGAGTTCAGAGCCAGTCTCAGCAATAGCGAGATGCTAGGCAACTCAGTGAGACCCTGTCTCTAAATAAAACATAAAATAGAGCTGGGGATGTGGCTCAGGGGTTGAGTGCCCTTGAGTTCAATCCCCAGTACTAAATCATCTTCATCATCATCACCATCACCATCATCATCATCATCATCATCATCCCTGGTACCAAAAATAAATAAATAATAAATAAATAAATAAAATGTGCTCAAGATGACATCAGTTCCATTTGTCTTAAGTCCTGGTGTTGTGTGTATGACAAGCAGCAGCCAGTTGTGATGACAGATGATAGAGCCAAATAACTATCAAATTTGTTGATATTTTCCCATTTATAAACCATCCTTAAAGAAAATCATATATGGGTCACACCATTCTCACATAGTCCAGGAGACCGACCATGCCACCTAGATTCATGTTTTCACCAATAAAGAACTGGAAGTTTTTAAAATTAGCAAGGATGTGCCTGATTTGTTCTGTAGCTCCTGTCTGAAAAGTTTTACTCTCTGGTGATCTCTGTTCTATAAGTTTGCCTTTGATTGATTTCATCTAATCTTTGATGTATTTCTTGTATGTTTCTTTTGTGAAGCTGGTTTCCTGCAAATGATGGTTCATGACAATATCAACACCAGTGATTACCGTGCTTTCCATACCTTTGCCCTTGGGTCTTTCAGCTGAGGCATTTCCACCAATCAGCGAGTCATCAATGTTACCCTCTGTCCTACTGACCATCTTGCCCTCCAGCTCCAGGAACAGCCTGTCCAAGATCTCCTGGATCTTGTAAATGTCGGAGAACATCTCATAATGGCTGATGAGGTCCAGGTAGATAATCATGATGGAGACTGGAGGGCGGCACTAGCTTAGCAGGAGCCTGGAGATCAGAGCTGAGGGCCGGGGATGGTGGGGGTGGAGGGGCAGGGTGGGGGTGGTGGGGGTGAGCAGGGGGAAGAGCTGGCGGAAAAAGTGGATTTTTCTGTTTCTGCAAAAAAAGTCATTGAAATTTTGATAGGGATGGCCTTGAGTCTGTAGATCACTTTGGGTAGTATTGACATCTTTAACAACATTAAGTCTTCCAGTCCATGAACATGGAAAATCTTTTCATTTATTGGTGCCTTCTTTAATTTCTTTCAGCAATGTTTTGTAGTTTTAAGTCTTTTGACTCCTTAGGTTTATTCCTTAGGGTTTTTTGTTTTGTTTTGATACTAGGAATTTAATCCAGAGGTGCTTAACCACTGAGCCATATCCCCAATCCTTTTTATTTTTTGAGACAGGATCTCACTAAATTGCTTAAGACCTTGCTAAGTTGCTGAGGCTCCTCTTGAACTTGCTAGCCTCTTTCCTCAGCCTCCCAAGTTGCTAGAATTAAAGGCATGTGCCACCATACCCAGCAATGGAATTGATTCCTTAATTTTCAGCTTGTTCACTATTAGTATATAAAGAATACAATTGCTTTTGTACATTGATTTTGTATCCTATAATTAGGATTTAAAAAAATTTTTTTTTGTTTGTAGATGGATTCAATACCTTTATTTTATTTATTTACTTTTATGTGGTGCTGAGGCTCAAACCCAGTGCCTCATACATGCTAGGCAAGCGCTCTATCACTGAGCCACAACCACATCCCTGTAATTGGGATTTTTGATTCTCTATATGCAATCTCTCACTATCCCGCCCTTGGAAGTTTGGAGGAGTTTTTTCTTTGTACTTTTGCGATTTGAGATTTCATGATCATAGACTTGATGTGGGTACTTGTAGCCATTATATTGGATACTAGGTAGATCTAAGAGTTCTTAGATTTTTTTTTTCTCCTGTTTTCAGCCCTATCTTCATCTGTACTTCCAGAGATATCTGCTACTGATAATTCCTGAGACATCTGAGGGTTTTGTGGTTTATATTAGGTTCTCCTGTCCTCCCCTCCCCCACGTTTACCATTTCTGGTTTAGGATTTAGGCTTCTTGGGTCTATTTAATCAGTTCCCAGCTCTCAAAATTTTGTCTCTTACTCCTTTTGTGTTCTCCTTTTTTCTTATGGTTTATTTGTGCCATTTTAGTTTATTTTAAAGTAGCCATCTTTAGTAACTGAAAAGCAGGTGTGTCTTTTAGATCTGTTAGTTGATTGTCATGTGTATGAAAATTTAATATAAATGCTTAAATTTAATATAAACTTTTATATTATATTATTTAATATAATATTATTATATTAAATAAGAGAAATTTAACAATTTCTCTTACTCAGATAAAGAATTCTTAAATACCAACTGAACTGGCCAATTTCCTTCCTTTTTTTTTCTTTTTTGTAGTTGTAGATGGACATAATGACTTTATTTTATTAATTTATTTTTTTCTGTGGTGCTGAGGGTCGAACCCAGTGCCTCATGCATGCTAGGCAAGTGCTCTACCACTAAACTATAGCCCCAGCCCCCCAATTTCTTATATAACTTGAGAATGTATATTTTGAGCTGACTTGTCTTGGTGGGCCATGTTCAAAATCAGAGGTCAGACGTAGGCATTCCATGATCATGGTGCACAATTGATACAAATGAATGCTGCTTGAGTAAAACCTTTCAGCTACTTCCCCCCAGTGATAATATTGTGAATACCTACCATACATGAGACAACTGACATTTTCCCTAATCCATAGCCATGGGATGTTTCAGCTTATCCAGGTCTCTAAATTTTATTCCTGAACACAAACCACCACAAATGAAATAATTGAACTATGCTGGATTACTTTTCATAGATAAACCTTATACCTTTGGATGTATCCATTGTCTTTATGTAGATACCTAAAGAATGTTTCTTTATTGCCTGAAGTGTCTATAGTTTTTCCATCCACTGTTATGCAGCATTCCGTTCAAAAAGATCCATGTGGTAAATTTCTCATAGAATTTGGTGTCAGGCAAAGGCTTGTTTCTCCAGGAAAAAAACTTCCTTTTGCCATACAAGGAGAACTATTTAAATAATAATATTTTCTTATTTCCCCTTTTATCTTGGCTATTAGTAATTCAGAGGCACCTGGAGTTATAACTAACTCATTGATTATTTCTTTTGTAATCATTCCTCTCCCCCTTTAATAGTTTCTCATCTTTTGGTCTTCATTTTAATTGTACAGATCCACAATCCCTTGATCACAATTCTAAAATGCAGAAAGATTTAAAAAAGGAATGCTTTTTTAAATTCATGAAGCTTAGGGTGAATATTCATATATCACTACAGAATACTAAAACATTTAATTTTTAGGGCACTACCCTGCACCCCTTTAGCGACATTACATAATATATAGTATGCTCTCTCTAAAGCCTGAAAGATTCTCAATTCCAAATTGTAGCTAACTTGGGATTTCAGACAAGAGATGTGGAAATGTGAATGTTTGAATGTAGGATGATCCTCACATATATTTTGGAGTGCAAGCATGTGGCATTGAGAAGTTCTCAGAGGGCCATAGTGGATGTGACCTAATACAAGAGGAAGCTAAAGAGAGACCTGCTTGTGGTTGCCATTGGTCCCTTCATCCCAATGCCCATCTCCCTAGCCACTGATGACATTACCTGTCTCTTGATCTTCTTGTGTTCGGATTTTTTTGGACAGTTTCAGAGCAGCTTCAAGGTCATAAACTTGAGAGCGGGTGAACTTCAGTTCCCTACGGAGTTCATTAATTTCCTTGATTAAGGAAACATTTTCCTTTAGAAAAGAAGGAACAAGAGTGAATATGTATGAATGAGTGACTGTTGGACACAAGGCATGGGATTGAAGGGGTGGGAATGGACAGTGTTGGTCTGGACCCAGGTTAACTCTCTGGATCTCCCTTGGGGTGTGAGTATATTTGGCTTTCTCATTGTTCAGCCTCTCAAGGTAATAGCTAACTTACTTTCTTTCAGGTGAGCTCAGCACGATTCCCATCCATCTGAGCTCTTTTGAACAGCATCAATGTTTTCCTAAGTACTTTTTATACAACTTTAATGTATTTAAGCATCATAATAACCCTATGGCTAGATTCTATTACAATCATACTTTTTTTTGGGGGGTGCAGAGATTGGACCCAGGGTATCACACACACTAAACATACTACGTCCAGCCCCTATGATCACAATTTTATAGAAGAGGAACCTCAGGCACAGAGGCTGTGTAACTTAGCAAGTGACTGAGTAAGAATTCTAAGCCTAGTGGTCTGGTTCCAGAGCTCTTAAATACTGAGCTATCCTTTATTCATTTTTTCCCATTCATTTGTTGAACCTACATTTATGGGGCATCTGCTATGTCCCTCAGAATGCAGACTTCAGAAATAAAGCATGATACCTGTCCTCAACATCATTCTATTTAGTAACACAGAAAAATAATCCGATAATTAACATCAACTGTATCCATTGGAAATTCACTTCTCTTGTTTGTGTGTTTGACAAATATCCATCCATCCCGCTCCCCGCATCCACTTATCCATCCATCTCCATCCAATACCTTATACTGAATACCCATCATGCACCAGCCACTGTGATGATCCTGGCATTTTCAAAGTGAGACCTGGCCTCTGCTCTTGGTGGGGCATATGGGCCCATTTTAGCATGGAGCCACCTTGTTAAGGTGGAGGATAGGTCACAGAGGAAAGGCACTTAGTCAAGCCTGAATGGCGAATGGATTGCTAGGAACTGACCCCTGAGCTGAGGCTTAAAGGAGGTTCTCAAGAGAGGGTAAAGGGTGTCCCAGAGAACTGGAATAATAGGAGTCACGACAGAGAAGTGTGAAACGGTTGACATAGGGGGATGGTAGCAGTTCTGTATCACTATGAGATGGAAGAGGGGAGTAGAAGAGAGCATGAATGAAATTTACTACAGGCCAGCTGCTGGGGTGCTGTGTGCTGGGACCAGATAGTCTCTTCTCCTTTTCCCACACCTCAAGCTTCTACCTTCCATTTCATATTTAGCATAGGGGCCCCAGGTGGCACTAACGAGGAGGCCCCACGGGTCTCCTGCTTTGTTCCTAGGGCCCCTGGCCTCAGAATTCAGTTTGCCTATCATAGAGCCCCACCTAGGACTGTGAATAAATCATCTGAGCATCTTATTAAATGAAGCTGCTGATTTGGTGGGTCTTGGGTGGGGCCTGAGAGTCTGCATTTTTAACCAACTCCCAAGGGATGTTGCTGTGGCTTGTCTGCAGGCCACACTTTGACTAGCAAAGTCTTGCAGGTCAAATCTACATGAAATGGGCCTGCTCCAGGAAAGAACTTGGGGCACAGTCTTAGAAGTGGGGAGTATGGGTCAGGGCTGGGCAGATCTCAGGCACCCTTCTCACTGAGCTGTGCTAGATAAGCCCTTCTCTGCTAAGGGTATGTGCCCCTCAAGCCAGGAAAGAGCTGGGACTGCTGAAGATATCCCAGATTCCTTCCCTCCAGAGACTCTTCCTTTAAAAATAGATCTAGACTTTTAGAGGCTCAATATATCACTTACTTTTAGTTTTTCTCACTAAAAAAAAGATTCCCTCACTCTTGGATGAAATGCCCAACCCTCACTGCCAAACCTGTTGTTCCCCAGGCCAGGCTTTGTGTCTATTTTTCTGTGTCAGCAGATTTTCTCCATGCAATGCTTTACCCTTCTAACCAATCCAGGCCTTGGTGATGAATTGCCTACATTTACTTTCCAGATGCTGCCCAGTGAAACTCTCTGATAGTCCCCTCCCCTGGAACTTCCCCATGCCAACTTTATATCATTGACATGATTGATTTAATATATATTTATTGCTAAAACCCTGGATCCTGCCCTTGCATGTAAGAAGTGCTCAAAAAATATTTGTGGGATGGATAAGCAAATCAATATGAATGCATTGCACACCAGGTTGAAATAAGAGAATATACTTACTAATAAAGAAATTAAGGGGTAAAGGTCAGGTAGAGGAGACTAGAATAGAAGAAGGTCTTAAAAAGAACCACAAGAAAGTCACCGGCAAACTTGCTCTCTTGGGAGCTCTCTCTAGGTTGGTTTTGCTTAGCTTCACTTCTGCTTCATCCAATAAAGTAATAATGGCAATCAGAATGAAGACTAGAAACTCAAAGTACCACTAAAAAAAAAAAAATTTGTAGTTGTAGATGGATAGCATGCCTTTATTTTGTTTATTTTTATGTGGTGCTAAGGGTCGAACCCAGTGCCTCACATGTGCTAGGCGAGCACTCTGCCACAGAGCTGCAGTCTCAGCTCCTCAAGATACCATTTTGAGCCCTCTCAGGTTACATCTGTAGTTATTTCCTTTTCTTGGTCATTTCCTTTTATCACAGAATCCTACTGATTTTGTGCTGGAGCTGCACCTTGTATTCACCTTGCTGTGATTATAACTGGCTCTTGGTCCCTCTCTCTCCTCTAGGACTGTTGTGGTCCCACGGGAGCCCTTGCCCTAGTTTCTCCCTTCCCCCTCTACCACCTACACCCTGTGACTGGGATTTCTGGCTCCGGGTATATTTTGGTATGATTGTTAATGATCCCACTGCCAGCCTTTGACACTTCCATGATCCTTCCTTGCCTAAATGGGCATCTCCAGGGCATGATTCCATCCTTATTAGAGTGTGATTGAGGCCCATGACTCAATGAAAACTGATTCTCTTGTTTTTTGACCCTTCCTTCCTTCCTTCATCCCAAAACCAAATCATCTATTAACCAGTTGTTCTTGAAACTTGCTGTGCGCTCGTCAATGTGCTGAACAGGGAAGGTTCCTCTAGGCTCTAATGCAGAGAGATGCCATCAGAGTTAGAAGCAGGGGCCCAACCCAGTGTGAGGAAGGTTCTCAGGGGAGATTGAGGTTGGGCAAGAGTATTCCAGGCCTGGAGCCAATATGGAGCAAGCAGAACACAAACACTAAAAGCTTGCTATTAAGAATAAAAACAAGAGTAATCATAATTGCAAGGGTCAATTGAATTCTCACAACATATCAAACATTTTACATAATCACCTTATTTCATCCTTACAACTACCTTATAGAGTAGGCATTATAGGACTTGTTTTGGATGTAGAAATAATGCAGAGGATAAATGGTAGCTCCCAAGAGATGTTGCTATGGCTTGTCTGCAGGCCACATTTTGACTAGCAAAGTCTTGCAGGTCAAATCTACATGAAATGGGTTTGAAGATGCCTGTCTGCCTCCAAAGTGCCCTGTTCCTCCATGACTGCTGCCTTCAGACACTACTCCGTCACCACTCATTTACCTCCATTCCAATATCTTGCATAGTGTGATGGCCAACGACATCCCCAATGAGTACAGGTTGAGTTCTTTATAAAATGTTTTCAAGGGTGGCCACTGTTCTGAGGAGTCCAAAGATCACACTCAGGTCAACTGTATGTACATTTGGTAGCTTTGTGAATTAAAAATTAACACACCAAGCTTCCGAGCCCTGTGTTCTGATAGCTCCCTGGTCAGGATAGCTTTTACAAACTCCTACAGTTCTCCAGACCCATCTAACTACTCAGCTGCAGGAAAAATCTGACCTGAGCCTGGGAAATGTGAGAGAGACTGACTTGGCTAGAGGATGCTAAGGTCCATATATATGGAGGTTTCTAAACAAAGGGACTATACCTAGCTAGGGTGACCAGAACTGCCATAGGCCTTTGGAACAGCCTGATGACCCTGGCTGTTCTTTCAGACACCCTTGATGGGCAGGGCAGGGAAAGAAATGTCTGTAGCACCACCTTCTGGCAGGCTCAGAGTCAACTATCTTTTGAAAAAAGCAAGCAACAGATGCATTCATTGCTCCAGTAACTTGGAAACCTGGCATCCGGTGGTGTCTTTCTGGAACCCACAGTTGATGGCATCTCCATCTGTCTAATTGCACAAAATGAACCATCTCAGACTCCTTTTCTGCTCTTTTCACCTATATCCTGTGTTTAAGACATTTCTATTTGTCATTTCTGCTCTGAATTGCCTTCTGACATCATAACTTGCCCCTTTCTAAGGGGCAAATGCCCTCTCATTTACCTTTAATGCAATAGCAATCTCCTAATGAGTTTCCCTGCCGCCTGACTCTTTCTCTACCTGACTATGGAGTACCTCCAGTCTGTCCACCATGCCAAAGGAGTCCATCTTTACGAAACAAAGATAACATCCCTGCCAGCTTAAGAAGTTTTTCAGGTCATGGATGTGCTCAGGATGAATCTCATGATCCTGGCATGGTGTGGAAGGCCCTTTCAACCTGACTGTAGACTACCTACCATTTCAATGGGCCCTTTCTCTCTGCCCCCAACACTTTGCAACAAACTGAGGTCTGTGGACTCATGGAGTCTGCAACCACCTCTTCCCCCCAAGACCCTCTCCTTTCTTTTTCTCAGGTTATTCTCTCTTCCCCCAGTTGGTCCCTGACTACCCTCTATCTACCCTGAGCTCAGCTCAAATGCCACCTTCCCTCAGAAATCTTCCATGAGTTTCCAAGGCATAATTGCACTTTGCTTCCCCCCATTAGCCCACTGCACTGGGATATACTAAATGGAGAAGAGATTACTTGAACCTGGTCCAAGTTTCCTGGGAGGAGCTTCTTGAGGGTAGGGACACCCTCACATTCATCTTGGAATCTTCCATGGCTGACACAAACCTTGCTGTATACGAGGCTCTCAGATGTGAACTGAATGAATGTGTGTCCTAGATGTTTGTATTCCATAGCAACTCTAATTTCCATATCTGCAAGTATGCTGAGAATGCAGCAGGGAGGCCCCGAGCTCCTATCTGAATATACAAATGAGAAAGTGGCCTCATTTTTTGTTATTTTCTAATGAGTAGCTCTCAGATGCCATGTCCATCCCAGCTTTCCTCAGCCTTTTGGATTGAGGTGCCAGGGACCCAGCAGCTGCAGACACAGTTTCAGCAGGCTCCTGACAAACTCTTGCCAAAGGAGCAGGAGCACTTGACCACCAGCTGGGGGTCTGGAATAAGTTGTGCTGTCCCTTCACCCACCCCCAGGAGCAGCTACCCTGGCCCTTGTTATGAGGGGTTTCTAGGCTCTCCCACTTGGTTTCTACCTTGGTTCCTATATGCAGTCTTTGTTAAGAAGAAGGGAAGGGAAATGACATTTTTTTTGTCTTTGCTTTGCTTTCTTTTCTTTTTTTTTAATTGTTCAAAACATTACAAAGCTCTTGACATATCAGATTTCATACATTAGATTCAAGTGGGTTATGAACTCCCATTTTTACCCCATGACATTTTTTTTGAACACTGATTCTGTCCCAGGCCAGTGCCTTGTACATTACAAAGGTTATCCTGTTCAGTCCTCATAGTAACCATGGAGGTTAGTGTTTTCCTCTCCATTTTATAGATAAGGAGGGCATCTCCTGGAGAAGTCAAGGAATTTACCCATGGTCTGCTGGCCAAAGAGTGGCAGAAGCAGCATAACTCAGATCTACACAGTGACAGTGCCCATTTGCCTTCCATATCCTGGCTGGGAACATGATTCCAAGCTGAGGTTTGCTTGTATAAACCCTGCCATCTGGCCTGGCCCTGGCCCAGTCCTCCTTCAATTTTAACATCAAATAAGGAAACAATTTTTAGCATCCAGAACAGCAGTTCGAAAGTTTTCCTTTAAAAAAAAACAAACCTTCCTAACTTTGCAAACAGAATCCTACACAGAGCCCCACTGTGATCAGCAAGGAGCCTCTCTGGTTGAGGGGGAATGAACTCTGAACCTGCCCACAGGGCCCCTTTCTTGTTCCCTGTTGTTATCTGAGTCAATTCTCTGGATCCACAGGACTGCAAAGCACCTAGGCTTACAATGCTGCTTGGGAAGACGCTCTTCTGGGGACTGGGCTTGTGGGAGGGGCTGGGCTGGATAGGAGCTCTGCTGTATCTCCTTTTCTCCCCACCCCCACCTTGGCTTGGGGGGAACAGGAAAGGAAAAGAGGACACGATGCCTGCCCTGTCAGCCTCGTGTGGACTCCTGCATCCTATGACCAGCCTGTGGTCTTCAGTTCCTTTCTTCTCTCCTTTTAGGACTGACATTTGCTTTGGACATCTTGCTTGGCATAGAGAAAGGGACCCAGTCTTCAGAGGACCTCCCTGGCCTGTGTGCCAGTACAGGCAGGGCACTTGAGAGTTCAGCTATGACACCTGCTGACAAATATTCCTCTGTCATTCTGGTCCCACTGCCCAGTTTGCTGCATTCCAGGGCCCAGGAATCTCTCAGTGCTCTGGGCACTTAAGGCCCCTTGCAATGGCTCTGTGTGGGGCTGTTGGTGCCAAGGGTTCTGCCTACTGGATCTACTCCCCTTTCTGGGCCTCTGACTGCTTTTGTGGCCCAGAGTTGAGTGATGGTTTGATGGAGGAGGTGGGGCTGGTTGTAAAATGACCTGAGACCAGCCATGCCTGGGTCTGGCCTGAGTTGCAATGTGCTCTGCCTAGCTATGTGTGCACTACCCAACTTAGGCTCTAGTTTCAATCCAATGCAACCTGTTCCCATTCCAGCATTTTAATTAGGCTATTAAAGAAATGTAAATATAAGAAGGTATGTGTTTTATAAATGTGATTCTGATGTTCTCTTTTGATATTAATTCACCTTAATTGCCTCAGATGATACTGATATCAAACAGAAATCTGGCAGGAGCCTCCTGACCAGCAGTCCTGACAACATGCTTAAATGAGGTGGCAGTATTGGGGCCAGGCTCTCTGAGCATCCCTGTGAAGGATCCTGGAGGTTGGGTGTGGAGAATTTATTAAGTCAGAGTGGGGCCAGCTCAGGTGGATGTGGTTTGCTCTGGACCAAGAGATAAGGGTAGAGACCTGCGGCATCAGCAAAGTGAGAAGAGGCAGGTGAGACAGGCGTGTCCTAGCAGGAGTGAGCATCAGAATAAAAAGCAGCAAAACAAAATAAGACAAAACAAGAGTTGGAAACGGAGGAGAGAAGATGGAGAGAGTGACTTAGGAGAGCTAAAATACTGTGGATGAAGGTCCTGAGGGACAGGATGGTGAGAGGAGTGAGTCAGGACACAGGTGTGCTTTGGATAGAGATGGGGAAGGAAGAGGAACAGGGATGCTGGTGACCAAGGGGGCACAGAGATGCCTAGGAAGGCTCCTTGGGTGGGCTCTTGGCCATGGTCACAGTCAGGGCAAGTTCTGAGAGGACAGAGGACAGCAGCCAAAAGAGAGCTGTAGGGAAAGCTAGTGGGTCCTCTGGATGCCTGGGGAGCCCCGAGGATGGTGGTCTCGGAGGGACTCATCTCGACAGCTTGGCCTCCTGGTGGGGGCAAGGGTGTGTACCTGCATGATGCGGACGTAGTCAGTGCGGTGCAGCTCGCTCTCCTTGAGCACCTTCTTCTTGATCGTGGCCAGGTTCCTCTCCAGGTGCTCCCGCTGGCGGGCGTACTCCTGCTGCAGGTCTGTGTTCAGCCCTGCCATCTCCACCTGATGGAGCCCAGGGGGTTCTCAGCAAGGAAGGGAGGCTGCAGAGCACAAGGCAGGGCAGGGCTGCAGGGGAGGCTGCTTACCATGTCTGCCTGCTGCACGTACTTCTCAAACAGACCTCGGACCTTCTCCTTCAGCAGCGGGGGCTCCTGGATATATGCCACACAGTTGTGAAGGTCTGTCTTAAACCATTTGACCACTGCTTCCAAGTCCCGCTCCTGCAATTAAAGACATTTACTTTGGGCACAGCGGGCCACACTCCAGGTAGAAGGGCAGGGGCTGCAGACGGAGGCAATGGCACAGAAAGGGACAAGAGACATCTCTTCTGGGACTTACAGCTGACTGCCAGGGGACGCACTAGGCACGGAGACCTACAGGGCCTAGTGACAGCACTGAAACTTTTGTGCACCTGCCTGGGTCAGGCATCTGAACAGCCTACAAGACCTGGTGCTTGATCCTTGAGAGACCATACACAAGGCTTCTTTTATTGGCTCTGGAATCCTTTCAGGACCATGGGGCTTAAAAGATGAAAGGAGGCTCATGTGTCTACTCATATTCCTCTAGAGCCAAGATAGATGGTAACATCACTCTCTGGCAGATCCCTGGCCAGGGCTTGTGCAGCTCCCCTTATGAGCTCGTCTAGTGCTTACCCCTCCTGACAGTTAGGAGATGTGGAAGGGTATGGAGATAACCCCACAGAACTGGGCTGCTTCATCAGCCTATTTGGACTAGTTCCCCCTCTTCAATCATGTTTCTCTGATACATGTTTTCCCTGACCCTGACCTAGAAAGGGTCTTTCCTTTCTTTTCACTCTTCTAGCTCTTTATCTATATTCCATAATTTTCTACCTTGCATTACAATAGGCCCATGCCACAAGTCACCCATTAGCCTCTCCAGCCTGTGAAGGGCAGAATATGAACCAGCTCATATTTGTAGCCCAGCAGCTTCTAGTAAATGTTTGATGTGGAGTAAATGCTTGAGGTGGAGGATGGAAATTCAATCTGACTCAGCAAATGTTACCAGGTGGCTAGTGCTGGGGGTGAAGGTTCAACTATGTCCTGGCCCAGGACCAGAAGACCTTTCTCAGACTGGCTCAGGATGCACTAACGGCTATGGATGCTGGATGAATTTCTTAACCTCCTAATTATTTGGACTGATTATCCTTATTTATAACATAAAGAGACTGGTGTGGATCTCTGAGGTTCTCCTAGCTTCAGCAATCTTTTTGTCATAAAAACCCTTAAATACTGACCACAAATGCCCTGAGAATATTCTTCTCCAGGCCAAACAAGGCAAAAGCTAAGAATGTTCCTCCAGTACTGTCTTCCTACCCCTGATCACTGTTTTGTAGTCTCAGATGAATTCTGAAATCAGGCAGCACTGTGGGCAAATAAAGAACTTAAAATGGGAAGAGTGTTTTAGCAATGGGCAGGCTGTCCCTGAGAAGCCAGCTGCCCACTGCAGGCAGGTGCCAGATTCCAAGTGCAATCGTGCCAGACTCTGAAAATCTTCACACCTTCTGTTTCTCTTTGCGCATCTCTTGATCGGTGGCTCTTAGTTTCTGCCACAGCTCTGTGATGTTCAGTTCCAGTTGCGTGTTCTGTTTATGAAAACGCTCCAGCTCGGCTTCCATCTATAGAGAACAAGGGGAAAGTGCGCCAAGAAAAAGAAGGTGAGAGCTCGCAAATATATTTGAGAACTGAAGTCTTCCAGTGTATATGTGCCCCAAGATCAGGGTATTATTTTTCAGTTTCCACCTGTATCCTCTGGAACGAAGCCTTTCTTCTTACTCCCCACCATCCTAAAAGCCCCCACCTCCTTGGCTGATGTGGCAATTCAGGGCCATGGATTTCTATGTCATGATGGGAAGTTTCCCACTTGGCCACCTTCTCTTTCCTTAATTGCTGATCCCTTTCTCAAATTCCTTCTAACTCCATGACTCTCAAGTACCGAAGTCTCAACTGTAACATGAGGCAGGTTCTCCAGGGAAGCATCCTCTTTGCTGCTTGGTGTGGTTGTATGAGTGAACCTCACCCTCAGGGGCCGCAGTCATTCTAAAGCAGAAAGCTTAGTCTAAAGCAGAGTTTGAGGGACCAGCATGGCTCAGAGGTATACCCAACCTAAGGCATAAAACTGGAAAGAGCAGGTTAAGTCAAAACCTCTGTCTCATCATTCTATTGAAAAGGTCTTAAAAAGTATAACTGAGGGGTATCCCATCTTCAAAGGAAGATCAAGAAACCACTAGGGAGCTTCTGGAAGATTTTCTGTTCATTGGTTTATTTTATTAACTAAAGATGTGTCAATGAGGGCTGGGTTATGGCTCAGCGGTAGAGCGCTTGTCTAGCATGTGTGAGGCTCTGGGTTCGATCCTCAGCACCAAATAAAAATAAATAAAATAAAGATATTGTGTCTAACTACACCTAAAAAAATAAATATTAAAAAAAGATGTGTGAATGATAACTGAAACTTCCCATTAGGATGAGATGGGCTGTGTGTGAGCTTGCAATGAACTGAATTCCTGCCAAAGCAAAAGGTGATACTTGATTTGCGCCCGAAATTTGGTGGACACTAGGATTCCTGTTACTAGGGACGCTCAGTGGCAGGGAATGCTACAGCTCATTGGATATTTTTCATGGCTGGGTGGAGTAGCCTCCAAATCTATCCCAGGCCCTTTGCTCAGATTCAAGGCTCTTGCCTCTGTGGGCTACCAGAGGCCCCACTGAGTCACATCCATGTTCTAGACATAAAAAGGGATGCTTTTAGAATTATATTTTCTTTGTTACTGGGAACATTGTATTTTGACAGAATAGCCCTTTGACACAATAACCTGGCATAAAGGTGGCACTCAATACATACCTGAGTGAATGGATGGCAGTGTGAAGGACAAAGGGAGCCATATGGGTGGTGCAAGGAGAGGGTGAAATGACCTGCCTCCGGAAGAGGAGTGATAAGCAGGGAGTGTTAGCAAAGCTATGCAGAGCCACCTTGCACAGGATGCACAGCAAGGGTTGTTTCGGCACAGCTAGAGAAAGAATGTGCCCATTAGAAAGGTCCACCTAGCTGCTGTGGGCTTAGGGACGTAGAACTGATTAAGAGGGAGTCTTGTCTTCCGGAAGCCTTAGGACCAGAGGGATAGGAGAAGTAAGTGGGAAGTGAGGGTGGAATGGGAGAAACAGAGAAGGTGAGCAGGTGGCCCCCAGAAAAGGGATGCTTCAGCTGGCTGTCGTAGGAACAGTAAATATTAGAGAACGAAAGGGAAGAGAGAATTGCAGGCAGAGAGCAGCCTACACACAGGGGACCAGAGGCGTGGCAGCCTGGTGTATCTTTACCAGAGGTTCCAGTGAAAAGAGCAAAACTGGGTCCAGGGATACCAGCCAGGAGGCTGCTGCTGGGGCCCAGGCGAGAGATGATAGTGTCCTTGACCAGGCGAAATGTAAGAGAGAAAGGGCTTTCTCCAGTTTGCAGGGCTACCAAAAGTCATACCTGAGTGCCTATCGTCAACTGTGCCTCTCTACAATCTTAAGTCAGTAATGACAAGTTGAGTTAGAGTGGAAGAGAAATAACAGGACAACATTTTAAAAATCTCTGCTCTTTTTTTCCCCTAAGGCAAACCCTCAAATTACTATTTTATAGAAAAAATTATGAAATACGTAAAATTTGAGTATTTGTCTAGACTGCCAGAAGGCTAGCTTAGTAGTTGGAAGAAGCATCCTTTTCCTAGCTCAGCTTCCATCTATAGAGAACAGGACTCCATCTATGTTCCCATGTTATTCATCACACTCAGTAATTCTCAATGCAATGGGGGAGGGAGAGGGTGCATCCCCACTTCCTGCTCCCACAGGATATTTGGCAATGTCTGGAGACATTTTGGGTTGTAATACCCTGGGCAGGGGATACAACTACCTCCAGTGGGGAGAGACTAGGGATGCTGCCAAATGCCCTACAATGCAGAGAACAGCCCCCACAACAGGTAATCAATAGGTTGATGTTGAGAAACCCTGTACTAGATGAATAAATTAATAATTGGAAATTCAAACAACAAGGTTCCAGAAACCTTTCCCCTAGGAAGGAGAGAGGGACCTGGAGTTGACAGTGAAAAGCTGGAAAAGTGTAAATGAGGGATGGTACCTGAACCAAGGAAGGCTATATGTTCTTTCAGAGGTCTCAGCCATACACATGAGCCAAGGGTTGAGGCCTCCTTCCTACAGAAGAGGAACTTCACAGGAGATCTGCAGTGGGTGGGCAGAATAAGTCTGATCCCCAGAGGAAAATTCCAAGGTCAGAGGCCCCTGGAAGGAACCAGACCCAGATATCAGCCCTGGTGGCATCTGGCATGGGGTGGAGGTAGGAGGGACCTTGTTAAAATCATTCTCAAGACACAAGCATATACCCTGCTGAGTATCAGTGCCATGCTTGGCCCCTGTTACTGCTTGGGAAAGTAATAATCCCCCATGTATGTTGGGGTGGAAGGTTAGCTGAGCTTTAGCAAACTGTGATCTTAAATCCAGGTGACAAATGTCAAATGAGGAAAGAAAATTAGGACAGTGATTTTCAGGGTTCTGTGGCATACTGACCTTCCAGGAGAAAGGGGGCTCCAATCTTTCTCTCCTTGGGATGCTGCTAGAGTCTGAATATATGTGTTCTTCCAGAATTTATATGTTGAAACCTAACCCCCAAGGTAATGGTATTAAGTGATGGGGCCTTTGGCAGTTGATTAGGTCACAAGGGTTTTTGATTCTCTTAATGGAATCGGTGCCCTTATAGAAGAGGCCTGAGGGAGCCTGTCAGCCATCCCCCTTTGCCCTTCTGCTTGAGGGCACAGAGCAGTTGGAACTATGAGATGTAGGCCCTTCCAGATATGGAATCTGCTGGCCCCTTGATCTTGAACTTCTCAGCCTTTACAACTGTGAGCAATTAATTTCTGTTGTTTGTAAGTTACCTGGTCCAAAATGTTTTATTACTAAAAGGAGTAATCAGTTGCCATTTGGGGGCCCTGAAGTCATTCCAGAATGGTAGGAGGCCCTGAGAAGGCAGCTCTGTAGTCAGGTGAGTTCAGAGAGAACAGCCTACAGCTGCTAGGGACAAAGTCACTGCCACAGTCTCTAGATTCCTTTGTGCTCCCATCCTTGGACCAATCCCCACCTAGTTTCTTTACTGAACCTCCTAGAGAAAAGGAGTCTTTTCACTGGACTGACCAGCACCTGATTCTAGCAGGGTCATTAGTGGTGACATACTTATACCTATTATCCTTACTTAGCACAACCAACTAGAAGATGGAGGGGAAAGCAGGATCCTATTTTGTCTAGAGTGGTCAGAGAAGGTTCCCTTGAAGAGGTGACATACAAGCTGAGACCTGAAAGATGCAAAGAAGCCAATCATGTGACAATTTGGGGGAAGAGCCTTCCAGGCAGAAGGAACAGCCCTGCAGAGATCTCAGGATGGAAAAAGCTTGGCTTATTGTAGGATCTGTCAGAAAACTGGTGAATGGAACAGGAAACAGAAGCTTGAGATGAGACTGGAGAGCTAGGGAGACGCCAGGTGGTGCAGGGCTTGTGGGACTTTGGATGTTATATTCAGTGTGGGATAGGACACCATTCATTAGGGCACTTTTGCTCTGACCACTCCCTGGAGACCAGGCTGAAGCCTGGAGTAGAGACCAGATAAGAAATGGTGGAGGCTTGGGTGAGGATAATAGCAGCAGGGAGGAACAACGGATTTGAAATATCTTTTGAAAATTGATTAGATAGATGTTAGTGATGGTTTGGATATAGGCTTAAGAGAAGGGATGAATCAAGAAAGACTTCTAAATTTCTACTTTAAGTAACTGGGTAGATCACAGTACCATTTTCTTTTCTTTGTGCATGTGAGACAAGCACTCTACCAAGTGAGCTATATCCCCAGCACCTCCACTGTACCATTTTCTGAGAAAAAAAAGAAACTGGAGAAAGGGTGAGGTTTTAAAATCAAGAATTTGGAGAGGAAAATGGAAGAAAAATAAAGAATTCAATTTTAGATCAACCACAGACCTCACCGTTAGCTACTTTCTGCCCACTGAGGGGAGGCTGTGAGGTAAACACATGTCACAAGGGAATGCAATGTGTAGGGGTCCAGGGGACAAAGGGGAACACTTATACCTCACTGAACTCTCAGAAACCCTTGTCCAACTGATCTTGCTTCTAATCTCTCCTCTCTCAACCTTCATCCTGTTTGCTTTACAGAATATATTCTTAACTGTGTCCTTCTTGGCTCAAGAGTCTTTGAGGACTTCTTATTTCTTATCAGATTAAGTCCAAACACCATGCCCTGGCCTGGGCCCCACCATTTCCAGTTGAGAAACATTGAACTGGTGGGTTGTGCCGGGTGGTGAGGCGGTTGGCTGAGTATACACTGCCCTCTGGTGGTCGAAGGCCTGGGGCTGGTGTGCTGAGGTAGGCAGGGCCCCAACCTACCCAGAGCCCTACAGCAAGCCTAATTCTGAAGCATTTTACTTTCACACTATTGGGCCCTCAGTCGCGCCAGGGCTTTCCTCGCGGCATGGTCTGTGGAGTGGAGGCTGCACATACCTAGGGAGCAGAGAGGGACTAGAAAGGAGAGTTTACTTTCATTCCCGAGGCCAACTTGGAGTAGCGAAGGCAGAGAGAAGGTCTCAGAGGCTAGGGTGTCGCAGAGGGCTCTCACCTCCTGAATCTGTTCCTTCATCTCCTTGATCTCATTCTCTCGAGGTTCTATTTGCTTCTTCAGCTCTTTTATTTTGTAGTCAAGCACAAACTTGAACTTCTCTAGTTCTTGATTCTTCTTTTTCAGATCATAAATTCGTTTCTCCTAGGGGTAAGATGAGTGAGAAGTGAGAGATCACAAGGCCCTGGCACGTGGAATTGCTTTAGGGCAAGGAGTATAAATCCTGTGACTCTCCTGATTGAGGAGGCCCAGTCTTCTCTGCTCACTGGGGATACAAAGGCCAACTCTCCCCGACCAGGTCACAGCATTGATTCCTTAGCTTCTGTGCTTGCATATTGGGTTCAAGAGTTCAGAATTTACTTGTGGCCAGGAACCTCACTCACTCACTCACTCACTCACTCATATGTAGGTTTCGGGCAGCTGCATCTCCTTCCCATACTGCAGCTCTTCTACAGTGTGACCTTGATGCTTCTGTAGCAGCAGGCACAATCAAAGTTCCTCCCCTTGCATCTGGCTATACTTAAGACTTACTTGTCATTTAGCAAATATACCTGAAGGGAGGCTGTGTGTCTTTCAAGACTCAGTCAGAAAAGTCACATGGCTTCTACATGAGTCTACCCATTTTATCAAACATTTACTGAATGAACATCTTTTGCCAAGTATTGGAATGCCAAATATGGGTGTGGCATAATCTGTCCCTCAGGAGAAAACAAGAGCTAGGAAGGCAGATGTGGAAACAAACACAACCTCAAGATGTGATAAGTGCTGTCAGGGAGGGGTGGTCTGTATTGAGGGTGCTCAGCATACCCTGCTGGAGTGTCTGGTGGTGGCTCACAGGGGAAGTGAGAAGTGGGGGCTGGGGGGATAGGGAGGAAGGCAAGGAGTTCAAGAGTTCAAAATTTACCTTAAAGTCCAGGGTTGGCAAACTCAGCCAGGGCTAAATTTGGCCTGTTGCCTAATTTTGTCAGGTCTTACGGAACACTGCCAAGTCCATTCATTGGTATTTTCTTTATGGGTGTTTTCACACATGATCTTTGGCCTCTTTCTTGTCTGAGAATCTGAAGAGAGCTTTGAGGCTCCCACCCGAAAGCCCAGACCCATACACAAACATTCATACAGAGAAATGGCTTGCAGGTACTATCTCATTCAATCCTTATTAGACCCCTTGACAGGGGTCTAAGAAATGAAGACTTGGAGAAGTTGCCCAAGGTGCAATGCTGGGCCTGACACTGAAGCCCATGTTCGCCCACAGGACAATTTCTGCCTAAGACAATAGATGCAGAATGTGTGGAGAGGAGTGCATGGAGTCTGGATTTGCTCAGAAGGATGATATTAAATTTTGCATGCTGAAATGGTATGCCCCTTAGAATGTGTGTCTGTGTTCTGAGTGCTTTGTGAGAAAGGCATCCCTAAAAGTGGTACCAGCTTCCCGGGGCACCCAGGAGGTACAGGTTCAACCTCAGGGGAGTCCCTCTCTGACCAGGCGGACCATGTGGGCAATATATTCACAGATGGATACCTGGATCTGGGAGGGCAGGGGCCTTGGAGTCAGCTGACTGGGTTCCTGTCCCAAGTCCATCCTGTATACACTGTGTGACCTTGAATACTCAATCTCTTGGAACTCAGCAGCCATTAACACTGCATTGCTCATACCCTGGGGTTGTTGGCAGAACTGAGTGTGCCATGTTGACAGTAATTAACACAGTGCCAAGCACACCACAGGCACCTTGCTGACCTCTTATTCCCAGAGATCAAGTTAAATACATGTGTTCCAAGAAGCCAGGGGCCCTCTCTTTTCCAAGTCTTGCCCTCATGGCTTGGGTCCCTCCGGACTGTGGCTGGGTAGGACAGGAGATAGTCTTCACCTTGTCTTGAATTGTCTCATCTCTCTCCTGGATCTCTCGTTTAAGGCCTTGAATGTCTTTCTCTAGGGACCTGATGACTCCCTGAAGCTTCTCCTGCTCTCCCTTCAGCATCTCAATGTCGTTGGTTCGCTCTTCGATCTCCTTCTGCAGACTGCTGAACTGCAGATGCAAATAGCAACAGCAAAGACCCCTGAAATCTCAGAGCTCATCTCCACTCCTTCCAAATCATGAAAAAAAGCTCCCTATCACTGATCAACTGTGAGCTGGACCACCTCTCTTCTGTCAACTGAAAACACTGAGTATACAACATTTCTAAACTTTGGGGGGAGTGAGTTTTTGCAGAATTTAAAATGGCTCAGAAATTTCCTAGGCCAAATAGATGATCACATTGACCTTAAAATGATCACATTGACCTTAAAAAGTTTGAATCAGTGGCCCACCAAGTTCACAGATGCTGGCGCTACCCAATGAGCCATCTTAGTCATGTCCAAGACTGTCCTCTAGACTTCCTAGCAATATGATTTCTAATACGAAGAAACAGGAGCACACTTTGAACTTGGCTTCTGTAAGGCTAAAGGTTTTGGTGAAACTGTGACAATTCCACAAGGAACGGTGAATTGAATAGCCCTTCACTCAATCACCAGTGAACTAAAAATACTTGCTCTACCTTGTAAACAAAGCTCTTTTACCTGTCTCCTTCTCCCACCTGTGGAGCCTGAACGGGAGCCACCAGAGCCCAGGACACTTCCAGGCTGAGAAGACCTTATTTCCATTTCTAATTGATCTTACTTGGAAGTGAAAGCCCAAACAGAGTCTATCAGCCACAGGGGAGCTCGACATCACTGCCAAAAGGAGAGAGGCCAGATGGCTGCCTTTTCAGAGGATGTGGCAAGGTCTGTCTGCCCCCGCAGGAGCACCTGCCAGTGCTCCTTTCCTAACCTGCTCACTGGAGGTGAGGACGTTCAGGTGAGAACTCTGCGCAGCACCCAGGGCTTTCTATTCACCTGGCCCAGCTTTTTCTGCATTCCGGCCCTTGCCCATTCCCAAGTCTCTCAGAGAAGAGCCTGATACCTTTTTCCTCATAATGCCTGTTTCTCCCTTGAGCCGCAGGTTGGATTCCTTCTCTTCCCGAAGTTTTTTCTCGTACTTGATTTTGATATCTTGGATTTCTCGGTCTTCATCTTCTTCAATCTGCTTCTTGGTCTCTTCAAATTCCCGCAGCTGCTGCCTGACATCCTCCTGGGCCTGGCTCAGAGAGAGAGAGAGAGAGAGAGAGAGAGAGAGAGAGAGAGGGAGAGAGTGCAATCATGGGAGAAGGGGCTCACGGATGCCTCTGTGCTAAGAATGCCTGGGATGAGACTAGTCGCAGAGCCCTATCATGGCGAACAGGAGATGAGTGTTATTACAGAAATGGAAACTGAGGCCATTTGTCTCCTGACATGTCCACTTTCTTCGTGTCTCCCATATTTCCATCCAGGTCAGGCCTCGGGCTCCATCACTTCAACCACACATTTAGCAACATCCCCATATCCTGTTTTGCCTCTGGTCTTGACACCAGCACCCAGACGTCCTGTTTTTCCTTCACAGAACTGTGACAGCTGTAATTTTATATTTTTTACTAAATTACTTATTTTCTCTTCCATTAGATGTAAGTTCCTTAAGGGTAGAAACCTTTTCTCTCATGCCCACCACTGAATTCCCAGTGCATAGCACATATGGGCACACAGTAGCTACTCAATAAATAGTTGTGAAACTACAACTGCTCTCCTTAAGCCAACCCATCCTGCTTTTTCTCTATGAAAGGGAGGCACAGTGAGATCTTAGTTCCTGAGAGTACCTCTTCCAGAAGGGTGGTTTTCTCTTGCAGCTTGGCCTCATAAAATTCAGTCAGCTCCTCCAGGGCTTGGCTCTTGGTCTCATCATTATCTCGGAGCTGTTTTTCATACTCTTCCTGCATCCTTTGGGACTTGAGTTGTAATTCCTGGTATTTCTCATATTCTAGAAGCAACTTTTGGTTGTTGCAACATTCTGGAGAGAATCAAGAGGGAAGTATTTAAGGTGGGTGAGAAGACCAGCCTCAGGGGCATGCAGCAACCCTGGGTGCTTTCCTACCCCTTCCATGCAGCCAGAGTAGCACCTCTGGAACCAAAATTCCATGCCTTCAGCCAACTTCATCCCCTCCTGCCCTAGGCAGAAATGTTTCTAGGAAGGTGCAGAGGGATATTTGAAGGTTCAAGGCCAAGAAGACTAGCCTGAGTATGCAAAATAAGTATTAGTGTCCTATTTTTTCAGAACAGTCAGCTGAGGTTCAGTCAGGTTAGGTGACTCCCTAGAGCACCCAGCAAGTGAGTAGTGAGTCTGGGACCCAGGCAAGTCTATATCTCCTACTGGCAATGCAGTAGGTGTTTTTGTGTTTTGTTTTGCTTTTTTGGGGGTACTGGGGATTGAACTCAGGGGCACTAGACCACTGAGCCACATCCCCAGCTCTATTTTGTATTTTATTTATAGGCAGGGTCTCATTGGAGTGCTTAGGGCCTCGCTAAGTTGCTGAGGCTGGCTTTGAACTTGCAATCCTCCTGTCTCAGCCTCCTGAGCTGCTGGGATTATAGGCATGCACCACCGTGCTCACCTTATAGTAGGTGTTTAACATGGTTTTATGGAAGAAGTAAATACACAGGAGTGAAAACCACCGTGAATTCTGGGGGATGAATGTAGCCTGACCATAGACAGGGCCACAGTCCCTGGTACTTCTGCTGTGTCTGGGGGACTCCTGGTATTTTCTCAACCTGTGTCCTTCCAATGCCAAGCAGCCACCCTCAGCCCTTGTGGCTTCTGCTTGAGGGAGGGCTCACCCAGGTCTTGCAGCTCCCGGTTCTGTTTGTCTAGGAGGTCTTCTATGCGCTCACGGTGACTTATATCCTGCTTCTCTTTTTCTGTTCTTAAAACCTAAACCATAAAGTGACATTTTCTGATTTCTAAACATCTGCTGAAGGCACCACAAGGATGAGAAATAATTTTACAAGTGACACCCTCCTTCGCTCACAAACACACACATTTCTCAAGCCCTTACTGTGCACCATTGTTCTATGGAATGACACATGTGCTATCACTTCCTCCTTATTTATATTATATTCTCCTCTGAAAGTTCTATACTTTCCCTGTCTATATCCTTGTTAATAAATGGGTTTGTGAGTGATGAGTTTAGTTTGAGATATGTGTCAAGTGAATTTTGGGGTGAAAAAATAGGGATTCATTCAAATCCCCTGTTGCCTGCACCTTACTCTCAGTGAACTTCTTGGGGTTAACTGTGAGCTTCTAAGAAGTGTCTTCTCTACTGGAGCAGGACAGATCCTCGCAGACTGAGACACTGCCATCCCAGGACTTAACTTTGTGCTTGGCTTATGTGGGGCACCAAAGAAAAAATGTTTGTTGACTAACTGAATGGAATTACAAATGAGTGATGAATAAAATCAACAGCCATGTTTTTTTCAGACAAACTCTCTGACTCACAGAGATAACATAATAGAACAAATTTTCTTGAGCAAAAGATTGGGGGCTTTGGATGAGAAGGTCAGACAAATTTTTGTAGAACAAAAACAAAACTATGTAACTATGTAACCTAGGACTATGTAACTTTCTGACAATCTAAAAATCAATATTCTGCTAGTTCTTTCATTCTATACTTTTTTCTTGCTATCTTTTCATTTTGTTTTAAAGTAAGTTTTTTCTGATTACAAAAGTAATGAATTATCTATCACTGCAGAGAATTTGGAAACTATGGAAAGGTATAAAGAACAAAATATAAAGTATCTATCATCCAAACATCCAGAGATAGTTACACTACTATCTATTTTATTTTACCTATTACCATTAGTGATAGAGAATTTTATATTCTTTTTTCTACTTAGTGCCTTACTGTACTCTGATGATTTCTGACATTATCAACAGTGCTTTATGTTCTTTGAGCATAACTAGGGCAATACATGCCAGCCCCATGTTGAGCTGAGTAGAAATTTCTCTGGCTTGTGGCTGTTGGTTCTGTCTCTCAAACAGACCTGGTTTTTGGTTTTCAAGGACTCCATTTCCTGGAGGAATTTGTCTGTAAGCTCCTTAATCTTCTCAGAGTAGTTCATATCCTTTAGTCGAAGTTGATACTCATTCTCCATTTTTAATTCTTCCACACGAGTCTTTAGCTCCAACATAATCTGAGCCTTTGGAAGAAGGGCAGAGAATCAAGAGCTTTCATAGTGGGGTGAATCAGAATATTTAAACCTGTGGCCTTGACCTGAGACCTGCAGCTCTGTCTAGTTTCAAACTTAACATGTCTCAGGTAGAGCTTATCATCTTTCCCCACAAGATTCATTCCTCTGTCCCCACAATATGTACTCGTGGGCTCTACTGTGTGCTAACAACTCTCACATCTCCTTCATTCAAATTGGCTCACATGTCACCTGCTCCATAAGGCCACTTGAATCCCACTATTTAATCCTGCCACCCCCTTCCTATTCCCACCACTTCCTTCATGACCTCCCGTCCTGCCCTCTTACTGTGCTCTACTTTGGATTACTTCCTTAGATCTTGGCACTTTCTAATCTACTATATAATTTACTTATTATTTTATTTTCTCCCCCATTAAAGCTTAAGCTCCAAGAAAGCTGGGATCTTTGTTGGTTTTATTTGCTGATGTTATGGTTTGGAAGTGAGGTGTCCCCCAGTAGCTCACATGTGAGACAATACAAGAAGGTTTGGAGGATAAATGGTTGGGTTATAGCCTTAACCTAAGCAAACAGAGGCAGGTGGGGTGTGGCTGGAGGAAATGTTGGAAACTATGGAAAGGTATAAAGAACAAAATATAAAGTATTTATCATCCAAACATCCAGAGATAGTTACACTATTATCTATTTTATTTTACCTATTACCATTAGTGATAGAGAATTTTATATTCTTTTTTCTACTTAGTGTACTCTGATGATTTCTGACATTATCAACAGTGCTAGGGGAGTGATTATGGAGTAAATATTTTATCTGGTGAGTGGAGTCAGTCTCTCTCTCTCTCTCTCTCTCTCTCTCTCTCTCTCTCTCTCTCTCTCCTTCCTGATCATCATGTGAGCAGATTCCCTCTGCCACGCTCTTCTGTCATGATGTTCAGCCTCATCTGGAGCTCCAAGGAATGGAGTCAGCCTTCTGTGAACTGAGACCTCTGAAACTGTGAGCCCTCAAATAAACTTTCCTCCTCTATAATTGTTCTGGTTGGGTCAGTGAAACTGCTGACTAAAACAGCTGATGTACCCCAAGTACCCAGAACAAGGCCTAACACATAGTAGATACTCAAAAGATATTTGTTTAATCACAATCCTTGCCCCATGGAACTTACAGTCCAAATAAAAATATAATTAAAATGTGATAAGTGCCCAGAGCTGGGTAGTTCTCAGTACTGTTAGTTGTCCATCCTGATGCATCATATACCTATGCTGGCCTCAGTGCTATTACTTTAACATAGGTCCTAATTCTTCTGCCTGGACAACTCCTGTCTCCACTGTCCTCCCTGATGCCACAGTTTTCTAAAACTACTCTTAACACATACACCTCTCACTTCCTATGAAGTCAATGTTGATGACACAGTGGGTGAGGACACAGGTGTTTTGTTCTCCCTCACCTTGATGACACCCCATACATCCCTATCAATCATCTTTACTTGTCTTTCCTCTACTGCCTGGGAGTGACTAGACCACAAGGAATGTGTTATGCTTGGCTCTGCACATGGCTAGCATGCTAATGTGGACCTGGCATGTAGGAAATACTGAGATGAAGTATGAACAAAAGTTGCATGTACAAAGTCAGGGAGGTAGGAGTGAGGATGTACAGTCAGGGCCCTCATATGACTTGGTGACAATAGGAGGCAGCAGGAGAGGAGGCTGAGATTGGGCAAGTTTATCAAGGTCCCTGTAGGCCATGTAGGAAATTTATACTAGAGGGCTTCCAAGGGTCCTCACCTAGCTCGATTAAGCTGACTTTGATGTTATAAAGGCCTCTCCAAAGACAGTGTGCAGCATGGACCACTTTAGAGATGGAGTGAAGGCAAGGTCATTAGTTGGGGGACAACAGCATGGTCCAGGTGAGAGATGGTTAAGGGCTTGCACAGTTGTGGACGAGGGGAGCCGAGAGGCATGGGAAGACTGGAGTGAGATATTTTGGAGAAATGGTGCTGACTGGGTGGGAGGTGGAGGTGAGAAGATTGTGCATGAAAACTTTTTCCCCAGGTAGAGTCTCCAGGACCTGAGGGTTAGGCTTGGCCTGTCTTGTTTCACTGCTTTCTCCCCAGAGCTCAGCATAGAACCTGCAATGCTGTCAGCACTGATAAATATTCATCAGATGAACAGACATCTGTCTTGGACTAATGGGATACATTTATAAGTGGGAAAGATTCAGTTTTGATATGTGACATTTGAGGTAACTGCTCATTCCATGTTGCTGTAATCTCTCCAAAGCGTGAACCTTGTCAAGATGCTCCCTAACTTATTAGTAGTGGGGCCTTATGAACAGTTTCGGTCTAAAATGTGGCTTAAAAGTCCCTCATGATCTCTCTGATTCTCTCACCACCCTTTCTCTCTGACACATCCTCTATTCTCATCCTCTATTCATCCTTGTCTCTCCTAGAGCACCTGACCCTCATCCTCAGCACGTACTCATTCCTCTGCGTGGAACACCCTTTCCCGTTTGTTCTGGAAGGTTGTGTGGGGCTCACTTCCTTTGGGTCAGGGTCCTTCCCCTGTGTTCCTGACTTCCCTATTTTTTTTTTTACCCAGCCCTCCTCTCAGGATATAAGCTGAAGGACTCGCCATATCTTTTGCTCTGTGTCTTATCTCTCTGTCAATATCACATGGAGAATGAATAAATGAAAAACGTAAAGAGGGGGTAAATCCTGGGCTGACAGAGAGTTACAAAGAATGTCACAGAATATAAAGGAAAAAAGAAAGAGCTGGCAATTCTGGAGAATGTGACTTTTAAGAGACAGGTGGACGAGGGGCCAGTAAGGAAGTCAGGGAGGAGGAATCAGAGAGGTTGACCGGTCATAAGCAGAGTGTGGTCATACAGATGTTGAAAGAGAAGGGAGCCAGGAAGGGAGTCTCCCATTTTCAGCCTAGCAATAGTGCTGTCAGGTGTAGCTGGTGGTCAGCCATCAGCCCAGACATCTTCAGGCCTTGGGTTCAGCCTGGGGTCTCCTACTTGGCCTCTTTTCTACACCATGGTTAGAAAACAGAAGAAAACAGAGAGAAGGAAGAGAAAGAGACAGTTGCTTGCCATAAGGAGGCCAGGCTGCCCCTCTCCCTTTCTTCCCCCTTTGTCTTTCTGCAGAAGGTTTGAGGGAGCTCTAGCGGGCATCTCCAGGAAACACCAGAGGCCTATCATCCGGCTCTGTGGCTGCCTTCGCATTGCTGTTCTTACAGTTGTTCTTGTCTCCAGCCCCTATCTGGCTGTGAGCTTCCTGACCACAGAGCCCAGGCCTATCTTTTCACATGTGCACCCCCAATGCTTAGCTAATGGCAGATATTCAATAGTACTCTTAGATTCTTGATGAGCAGCAATGAATGCATGACTCTCAGATTCTCCATGAACCATCCAGTCAGCTTCTCTCAGGGAGTGCAGCACAGAGCTATGCAATCAAAACTCCAAAACCACATCTTTATGGAATGCTTACTGCATTCACAGGAGGGTTGTCCCTAGGTACAGTGATGAGGAGTGGGCTCTGGATGAAATCTGGATTAGAAAACTGGTCTACACCTTGCCAGCATAGTCACTTTGGACACAGCACTCTACCTTTCCAAACCTGTTTCTTGAAATATGGGATCAATAACAGTACCTTTTTCTGAGATGTATTGGAAGATATAAATGAGAAATACTTATAAAGTAGTCAGCACAGTGCCTGCTTCTTTGCAAATGCTGGGTTTTTTTATACTTAGGGTTTTATTATTTAGAAGTCTGGTTAAGAGTTTTAGGAATGTTTCTTACATCCTTCATTTCTTTCATTTTTTTAAAGGAGGTTCTCAGTACTAGCAATGACTATGTTTCACAGAAACAACTGGTATGTTTGGTTTGTCGGTATATTTATTGTCTTCCACATGCCTAGCAAGAACTAGAAACTATTGGTCATACAGGAGAATTGGACGCCATGGTTTTGCTCTCAAACAGTAGCAAAAGAAAGCCGAATCAGTGGATCAAGGTCAAGATGACCACGTGGAGGAAGACAGACAGTGTGGGGGTATAAAAAGAATCAAGTGCCAGCGAGAAGGACAGTCACAGGGTACAGCCAGGCTGAGGAGGACCTGCGATGCTGCTCTGAGGAGCTGAAATGCAGTCTGGCAAGGATTTTCCTCTTCATTGGGCCCAATTCTTACCTTCTCTTCCATGTCTGTTTTAGTCACGAGCACCTCTTCAGCAAAGCCCACCTCCCTTTCCCGCTTGATTCCGCGGCCATCCTTATCGAAGACCTTCCAGGTGAACAGGCAGCCATCCTCAGCAGTAGTCAGCAGGTACTGATCATCAAAGGTGAGCAACATCTGCAGGGTAAAAGATCATAGGAAGCTTTTTAGGGCCATAGATGACCAGGGTGACTGTGCAAGGCCTCCATCCACACAACCTGGGAATAGCCTCATAGCAAGGCAGATCTGGTTCTGGGTAAGAACGAGGCAGGAGCCCTCACAGACTTCTTTCTGTGAACAAATGAAAAGAAGCAAGGCTATAGCTACATTCCCTGTGGATTTGAACTCTTTGAGTGAAATATGACCTAGAATGTATAAAGAATTCTTAAAACTCAGTAGTAAAACAACCTGGCAATCCAAAGTGGGCAAAAGATTTGAGGACACTTCAGTGAAGAGGATATATAGATGGCCATGTATGCACATAAAAAGATGTTCAACATTATTAGTCATTAGAGAAATACAAATTAAGACCATGATGAGATATCACTACACACCTATTAGAACAGCTAGAATAAAAATTGTGACAATCCCATGTGCTGGCAGTGATGTAGAAAAACTGAAACATTGCTGATAGGAATGTAAAATGGTACAGCGAATCTGGATAAGCTTGGCTGCTGCTTAAAAAATTAAATACCCACTTCCCATCAGATTCAGCAATCATACTCTTGGGCATTTATCCCAGAAAAGTGAAAATGAAAGCCCACACAAAAACCTGCACAAGATTGTTCAGAGCAGTTTTATTTGTAAAAGTCAAACTAGGAAAAAAAAATCAAAATATCCTACAAAGGATGGATGATTTAACAAATTGTGCATACTGTGGAATATAACTCAGCAATAAAGCGAATCAACTATGAGTACACAAAACACCTGTTAGATCTGAAGAGCACTATGCTGAGTGAAAACCCCACCCTCAGAAGGTCACATAATGTATGATCCATTTATATACAAGTCTCAAAATGACAAAATTATAGAAACAGAAAAAAAGAATGGTTGGTAGGGATTAGGGATGGTGGGGAGGGGTAGGCATGACTACAAAAGGGTGGCAAGAAGTAGGTCTAGGTGGTGAAGGAGCAATTCTGCATCTTGACTGTGGTAGGTTATATAAATGACCCATGTGATGAAATGACCAGGCTCATACTCAGGCAGTGGACCAGCGCCAGTTTTCTGGTTTGATATTGTACTAGAGTTACATAAGATGATCACTGGGGTAAACTGGAATGAAGGCTACACAGGACCTCTGTGCTATCTTTAAAATTTCCTGTGACCCTGTAATTAATACCTAGTAAAAAATTAAGACAAAAAAGTTAACTATAAAAAATGCCTTCTCATAATTAGCAATGTGCAGAACTTTAAAAATAGTAATACTCTTTTACTTAGGAGTTCTATCTCTGTCTAGGAATTGAGCCTTAAAAAATTGTCAGAGATGCACATATAAATTTGCAGACTAGGATGTTCATTATAGTTCATAATGTAAATGCCTAGTTGAAAGAGAAGAGTTAATAACTTATGGTCCATCATATAATAGGATATACAAACACACACACACACACACACACATATATATTCTACCATGATGTATATATATGGACTTTTATTTCTAAAATAGACATGCATTGCTTCTATAATAGAAATTATTTTATTCATAAATAGTATATCTTAAAAGAAGAAGGGGAATATATTACAATAAGTTACTTTGGATCTAAGGCCTAGGCTTAGCACAGGGATATTTCATTTTATAATAAAAATACTTTCTTAATAAGAACAATGCCTACAGGTAAGCCAATATAGAGTTTGGAACATATTAAAAACCTTAGGTATTCATGTCATTCAATCTGAAATGAGAGAAAAGGGAAGGGAGATGATACACATTTTTCCCAGGTCCTATTTTTAGTAAACTACTTTTTTTTTTTCTACGAATAACCTTTAATTTGCTTTTGGGTATGATTTCTTTTTCTTTCTTTCTTTTTCTTTTTTTTTTTTTTTTTGTGGTGCTGGGGATTGAACCCAGGACCTTGTGCATGAAAGGCAATCACTCCCCTACCAACTGAGCTATATCCCCAGCCCATATTGGGTATGATTTCTTGGAAATCATCTTTCATGTCAGAGAATTATTTTTTATTCACATTTTTACTGTGGCAAAATATGTATAACATAAAATTTTACCATCTTAACCATTTTTAGGATTTCAGTTGTATTAACATTTGTAGTTGCTATGCAGCTATCACCATCACCCAACTCTCTTTTGTCTTATAAAACCAAAACTCTATACCCATTAAACAAGAATTCCCCACTCCTCCCTCCCCCAGCCCACTGCATTCTACATTCTCTTAATGATTTTGACAGCTATAAGAATCTTACAAAGGTAGAATCACACCATATTTGCCCTTTTGTGATTGACTTACTTCATTTAGCACAGTGTCCTCAAGCTTCCTCCCCATTGTAGCATACTGAAGAATTCCCCTCCTTTTTTTTTCTTTAATATTTTTTTAGTTGTTGATGGACCATTATTTTATTTATTCCTTTATATACTGTGCTGAGAATCAAACCCAATGCTTCACACATGCTAGGCAAATGCTCTATCACTCAGCCACAACCCCAGCCCTTCCCCTCCTTTTTAAGACTGAATACTATTCCATTGTATGTCTATGCCACATTTGGCTTATCCACTCATTGGCTGATGGAAACTTGGGTTGTTTTCACATTTTAGTTATTGAACATAGACACTACTTCATGAGAAGAAATGGAAGGATAATTTACAAATGTGTGCTCATATTGTTGTCCCCAGCAGTAGCCTTTTGCATCCTTGGGGAGTGGTAGTAACTAGTCTCCTGATCTATGATTCCTTTTAGTCCAGGGCAATCTCTGGAGGAGGGAATATCTGAGAGTCCTTAGCAGTCAACACTCATAGAGCCTGGGAGACGTGATGGTGACTGGTGGCAGTCACCAAATGGCCATTACTGTGCATAATATTATGGTGAACAACCTTGTACATAAATCTTTAGGTGTAGCTCTGATTATTTCCTAGGATAAATTCCTAGAAGTATTTAAACACAAAGTCAATAGATGCTTACTGAATGGTTGGTAGGTGAATACACAAGGAGGAAGAAGGAATAAGGAGAGAGAAAAGACAATGGAGGCTGAAGGGAGGAAGAAGGTATGTTGGGTAGGGTCTGGACCTGGACCCCTGAGGAAGGGTCCCTCTTACCTTGGTGATAGGACCAGCATGAGCCTGATACTCATTGAATTCTTTCTGCAAAGGCAGGGGGTACTTCATGGTGCGGATGGTTCCCACTGAGGTGCCCACAAACATCATGCGCCCGGAATGGGAGATGACAATTGCCGTGTAGACGACGTCAAATGCTGACATTTCTCGCAGGACCTGGAACACAGACAGCTCTGTTTAACTGAGAGGCTGAGCTATGTTTCCTGTGTCCTGATATCATTCTCTTCCTTCCCTCTAATAGCACTCTTAGAGTCTGTATTAAAAGAATGTGTTTTTTTCCCTATTCCTTACCACATCTTGCATGGTGCCTAGCACATAAAAGGTTCAAACTAGGTATTTCTCAGTTGCTTGACTGATGAATGTTAGAAGTTAGGAATGATGCCAATGACTGGAATCTTTGTACAGCACTTCCTCTGTGCCAAGTACTATTCTACACCCTTCCCATGTTGTAACTCGTTCAGCCTTCACCAGAATCTGGAGAGAGCGACCATTAGGCCTATTTTAAAGATGATGAAAAGATGAGTCAAGAGGTGAAAAATAACTTGCCTCAACTCATAAACCTAGTAAGTGCAGACTGACTGTTCTTCTTTTTTTTCCTTCTTCTTCTTCTCTCTTTCCCTCTTTTGGTACGGGGATTGAACCTAGGGCCACTTTACTGCTGAGCTAAATCCCCAATCTTTTAGTTTTAATTTTTTAATTTTGAGAAGGGGTCTTGATAAGTTGTTTAGGTCCTTGCTAAGTTATTGAGGCTAGCTTCAAACTTGCCATCCTCCTGAGTTGCTGGGATTACAGGTGTGTGCTACTGACCAGTCTCTCTGCTCTTGATGGCCATGCTGTCATGCACCTCAGAGTGAGAATAGGAGGCTGATCATAAATTTATTCAGAAAACATTTATTAATTCCCACTATATGAACATAACTCCATCTCCAGGGAACTCATTCATTTCTTCACTCATTAATAAACTCATTCCCCCACCTATTTATTGAATGTCTATTGCAGACCATGCAGTGCACTAGTAGTAGGAGCTTTATTTTAGTGCAGTGCTATAGAAGCTGCCACAGAACTAGGACCAGGTTACCTAGGGTACAAAGGAGTCACCATTCACTGAACTATGTTCCAACCGTGGGGAACCTGCCTTAGGTTGGTTTGTTGCTGCAGTAGCTATGTGCAAACCGCCCCCCCCCCCCCAGCCCTATGAGAAGAGCTGGGGAAAAGCCAGAGAAGCCAGTGATAATCAGCTGTTGCTGGGCTCCTGGAGGAGCACCCAGCCACATTTGTGTTAAGTCTCTTTCCAGAGCCAAATGTGGTAATGCTAACATCTGAGAGATGAGGGATTTCGAAAGAATACAGAGGCAAGTCCAGGTGACAGCAGCTAACTATACTTGTGCTTTTACCCCAGCTAAGTGCCAACCAAGGGCCAGAGTGCGGTTTAGAGACACTGCTGACCTCCATGCCTGGCGGGCAGAGGGGAAGTTACAGATAGCAAGCAAAATGGAAATGGAAAAGGGGCCTACAGTTTAACCGCCAGGAAAGGCACTGAGCAAGAAATTCAGGAAGTGACAATAACTGAGCTGACCCAACAGGAAGAACAGCCAGAGGCTGTCCTATGAGGAAGGGCCCTCTTTGCCAGCACACTGTCTGCTGTAAGCATGGGTGGCTGTCTTTTGTAAATCAACACAATAGCCCAGCGGTAGGGCAGGGGCAGACTCACTGAAGAATCTGCAATCTCCTTGAGGGTCTGGTCTGATCCAACAGCAAAAATAATTCTGCCATCAGGGGAGACAGTAACACAGTTGTAGCTGCAGGACTTGAGCACACACTCTGTCTCTCTCTTTCCTGAAGACAGATTCCATTCATATATAGCACCATCTGTGCCACCAGAAATCAGTTTGCTGTCATCTGCGTTCCAGACAATTGAGCGAATCTGCAGATGATGAAGACACACCCAGGTAAGAGTGTTTGCACACACACGGCAACATGGCCATGGGACGAACTCCTCAGGTGCTCCACTAGACTGAGGCAGGATGGCTGTTCCTGGTAGAGGAAATCACAAAGCATAGCTTCTTGGAAATGTTAACATTCTGTTTTCTAGATGCTTGCAAAATACTGCAGGTAAAACATTCACATTTCTTTTATACTTTATGAATGCAAAGAATGACTCACAATGGTTTCTTAATGCTACAGCCAATTAATTATTGCTACATTTTAAAAACTTTGAAAATTTGAAATTGTGTGTGTGTGTGTGTGTGTGTGTATGTGTTTTCACAGGAAGTTGCAAAAATAGCACAGAGAGAGTGGATTTCCAGGGTGGCAGAATGAGGATCTCAGCTGATCTCCCCAGTGAAATGAGTTAACTGGTCAAAAATGATTGAAACAGTGAAATAATCTTTTAAAGTCTCTGGAAATTCTCCTAAGGGCAGGCAGTAGATTCAAGAGAATCATCTTGGTAAGAACAGTCTGTGGTATCTGAGTCATGACTGGCTCCATTCCCAGCCTCAGCTCCAGAATCACCACCATTGTGCACTCTGAGCAGGAGCTGCCAAGATGTGGGGACTCCCTTTCCTTACAGCTCCCGATCTTAGGCTATGGTTCATCCTGGGAAGGTCATACTGCTGGCGTTTCTTATCCCCACTCTAGCCCCAAGTTAACAACAGCTCTATCTCAGGCAGGCATGGCCAAGAAGACCTGGTTTCCCCACCACCAACTAGTCCCTACTCATTGGCAGAAGAACTACTCCAGTTACAGCAAGCCTAGAATACTGGTGCCCAATTGCTTGTGCCTGTTTGCTCCCAGGTGGAGGCTCCTCACCATGAGGAGCAAGCTGAAAAGATCAGGGGTTCCATTTACCCTACGTACACACCACAAGTTCCACTCACAGAGTGGGGGTGTCACTCAGGAAAAGCAGGTCCCTGCCCTGGCACTGGTGTGGTAGAACCAGGATTTTGCCCAGGGAAAAGTCAGGCCTTAAGACAAAGAACTCTATAGCTCTGCTTGAGGAGACCGATTTTACTTTACTTGGGACAGAACCCAGTGAAGTCTGTGCCTATGGGCATGTTTAAAACAATGGAGACCTTGGTGGAGAGTGATTAAGAGGAGGCTGGTAATCATGATATAAGAAAAATCATAGCGCAACCAAGTTTCAATAGAACAAGGGAAAGAGTCGAGAAGAACAATCTGTGGGCTGGAAGGCTGTGGGCATGTGCTACGCTGCACACCCTCGGCAGCCACTGGAGCAGAGATGGGGAAACATGAGCACACCCCTGTACTGCTGGAAGACCTGCTAGCCCCTGGAGGAGCCCCACTACGCATTGGACAATAAGCTCTGACTCTGGGGCATCTCATAGGAAGCAAGGCTTAAAAATAAAGCCACATGCATCCCTGGCAGCCTGGAAACTGCATACCTGATCATGCCATACTTTTTCAGGGACAATCAGAGTGGGCACATCACACTACCAATCTCTGCTGAACATGTAGCAAAACCCATAAACTCCCTGAAACTGTGATAGTAGCTCCCAAGTCTCACACAAATCCAATAGTAAAAGGTAAAAATAGTAAAAGGTAAAAAAAAAAAAATGGTTAAGAGGGTTCATACACAATCCATGATTTATAAGCAGCTTACACCACCTGGAGGCAAACCCTAGGCAGCCAGGTTAAAAACAATAAAAAGAAAAAAAAAATCTAAGCAGGGATATTAGAGGCTTTACACTGCAGGGGAAAAAGACTTCATAGAATTAGTTCAACCAACGGCCACCAACAATTTCCTATGGGGAATAAGAATCCATATCTAATTATTAGATATCTAGTATCTAATAATTAAGATAACACGTTATCTAAAATAAAGTCCATAAAAATTATGAAGCATACAAAAACCCCAAAATCCCCAACAGATAGTCTGACCAAAAAGAAAAAAGTAAGCAGGCAAAAGAAACTGCCTTTGAAGGGGCCCAGAGGGTACACTTGAGACAGTCAGAGACCCCTGTAGACACAAAGGATAAATGCACTCCTGAATTTTTAAAAATTTAATTTAATTTATTCTAATTATACATGACAGCAGAATGCAATTCAATTTATATTACCCAAATAGACCACAATTTTTCATATCTCCGGTTGTACACAAAGTAGAGTCACACCATTCGTGTTTTCATACAGGTACTTAGGGTAATGATGTCCGTCTCGTTCTGCCATCTTTCCTAGCCCCATGCCCCCTCTGTGCCCCTCCTTCCCCTTTGCCCTATCTAAAGTTCATCTGTAAGCCAATCTCAAAAAACCAAATGTCTGATATAAAGATGTACTCCTAGATTTTAACTCATAGCTTGTTAGCTATTGAAAGCATGGGATGCGCTTCCCTGCTCTCCCACTTTCACTCAGGGCTTGTTAGCTGCTAAGAGCATGATCTGTACCTTCCCACCCCCCACTAACTCTCAGTCTTATCAGCCTCCAAAGACCAGGTGTATCATTAAAGCCATGACAGCCTTGCTATGACTCTCTGAGCACAAACAACATAAAGGATAAAACTGTTGAGGAGTTTTATCCTTTATGGTGAAACAGCATTGAAACCAGGGCCCTTGTTACCTGCCTTGATTTGTCTCCTTTTTCACTCCTACCCATGTGTTCTCTTAACAGCCACACAGCAGCTCATCCTCATCACAAGACAGAGAGGTTCATACAGGATGTCACATCGATTTGCAAGATGTAATATCTGGTGCCAGGATGATGGGCTAAGGTCCCCTCCCTCAAGGTTAAGAGCTTTCCCAGGAAAAGAAAAACACGTTTAAATATGTACCTGAAGCCAATTAATATTCCCATCCTCACATGAATAAACTAGCTCTTTCCCTCTGTCCTGGGAGCTAGCTGGACACTCTTTGGTCAGTGCTGTGTCTCCCTTCTGCTTGAGCAAGAAGTCCCAACAAAGTGTCCTGACCCTGTTAAGTTAGTGTTCCTTTATCTGATCTTTCTGATGGAGACCACAAGACCCCACCTAGCTGGTAACAGATGTAGCAGACAAAGACTTCAAAGCAGCTAATAAAATATGTTCAGTGAACTAAAGGAAACCATGCTTAAGTAATTAAAGGAAGGTATGATGACAAGTCTGATCAAATAGGCAATATTAATAAGAAGCCAGAAATTATTTTAAAAGTTAAACAAATTCTGGAGTTGAAAAGTATAATAATGAAATGAAAAATTCACCCAAGGGACTTAAGAATAGATTTGTTTTGTTTTAGTTTCAAGATTCTCACTAGTTGCCCAGGCTGGCCTTAAACTCTCCAACCTTCTGCCTCAGCCTCCCAAATAGCTGGGGTCATAGGTGTGTGCCACCACACCTGGCTTCAATAGTAGATTTGAGCTGGTAAACTTGAAGATAGGTCAATGGAGATTATATAATCTGAAGAACACAGTAAAAAAATTTCAAAAAATTAAAAGAGCCTCAGGGAAATGTGGGTGCCAATTAAATGTACTAGCATGTATAACAGGAGTACCAAGAGGAGAGAAAGAAAAAAAGGCAGAAGATATATATATATAAATATTTAAGGTTGAAAACACCCCAAATGTATTGAAAAACATTAACCTACACCTCCAAGAAATGTAATAATCTCCAAGTAAAATAAATGCAAAGAAATCGACATTCAGACACACTATAGTTAAAATACCAAAAGCCAAAGATAAAAAAATCTTAGAAGCTATAAGAGAAAAACAATTTATCACAAATAAGCGAACCCCAATAAGATTGACATTGGACTTCTTATTAGAAATAAGTACAGAAGACAGTGGGAGACATTTTCAAAGTACTGCCAGTAAAAATCAACCAACCAACCAAACAAACAAACAACACGCCCTTACATCTAGCAAAAATATTTTCTATATTTGAAACATGAAAGGCAAATAAGGATGTTCCCAGATTAAATAAACTGATAAAATTAATTGCTAATAAGTCTGTCTTTCAAGAAATACTAAAGGAAGTTCTTTAGACTGAAAGCAGGCCACCCAACACAGCAATCTAAATCCATGCCAAACAAAACAAAACAAGCAATTTCAAAAGTAATCAAGTCACTGTGTAATTACATATTATATTTTCTTTATTCTCTAAGCTCACTGAAAGAGCAATTGCAATGAGAAAGTTCATAAAAAATTCACAAATTTACACTTGCTCTCATTTTTCTCTCAGCTTCTTTAAAAGGCAAAAATCAGGTAATGTAAAGTAATAAATAAACACTGTATTGTTGAATTTGTAAAAGGAAGATGCAATGTGTCTAACAATGATAGAACAATGAGGGCTGTACTGAATGGACCTTTGTAAGAGCAAAGCTTCTAGTTAGGTAGTGTTTTAAGTGTTTTTTTTTTTTTTAAGCTGGTTTTCCATCTTTAGCCTGTTAATATGGGGGATTACATTGACCAATTTCATATTCTGAGCTTGGCTCACAGTCCTAGGAGAAACCCCACTTGGTTTTCCAAATTCATTTTCTTACCCTCTTGATCTTTGGCCTCTTCCTCTTCAGGTCTCACATTTAATCTCCTCAAGGACCTTTTGATTTTATTTTCTAAATAACTTGAATCCACCCATTTCTTCCTAACATAGCTACCACCACCAGGATGCAAGACACTAACATTTATCATGGAACTATTCAGAACAGCCTCCTTATTGTTTCCATCTCTATCTCCTTCAATATATCGTTCATTCTGCAGCCCAGGTAAACTTTTAAAAATGCAAGTTTGGCCACATCATTCCCTGTCTTGAAAGTCTTCAATGATTTTAAGGAACAAAGAGGATAAATAAGAAAAAATCCTTATAAAACCTACATGATTCCATGCACTGGGGCTCCTGTAAACCTCTCTATAGTCTTAGCTCACCCAATGATACTAACGTTCCATCCCCACAGACACTTCAGCTCCTCTGGTATTCCCTGCAATCTGCTGTCTCTGGGTCTTTGGATCTTTAACTGCAGTGGAGAGTCCCATCAGTTGTCTGATTAATTCCTTCCCACTCCTCTATGACTGAGCCTTTGCAAGCCCCTCAACCTACATTATACCCATCCCTTCGTCATTTCTCTCATAACAACCCCATGTTTATTTTCATTAACTGCATTTTGTCTGTGTATTTTTTTTTATCATTTCTCTCCCCAAGTAGACAGCAAACACCACAAGGAAAGGAACCACTCCTCCTTGGTTTACCTGTGTCCCATTGACTAGCACAGTGCTTGGCCCTGTGCCCCATTTTCCCAGATGCCGTGCATTCACTCACCTTCCCCGTGTGTCCTTTCAGGTTTGTGATGTTCTCTAGGCTTGTGGTGGTAAAAACGTGAATCACATTTCCATTGATTGCAGCAAACAGGTGGCCTCCATTGCTAAAGGCACACTACAGGGAAACAGCAAAAGAGCAAGCAAGAGGTGAGCAGTCAACCGCACGCTGCCGCCAAGAGCTGCTTCTCTGGAAGAGTTCATGTGGGAATTGTGTGTGGGATGGTGGGGGGAAGGTGCAGCAGGTCCGAGACTTGGCTGATATCTTCAGACACTGTCACTATTCTATAGCTGGCACCAGCCAAGATTCACCACTGTCTTGTTTCAAGTCATCCTGGGGGATCCTGATGGGCTGGGCACTGCCTCTTACTGTTGATGATGACTCTCTGAGATTACTTTTCTTTTTCACAATTTGTTAGCTCCATGATCACAGAGCAGACTTATCATAGGTGGGATCCTACAATGTTTTAGGTTCAATGAAATATTTTGGCCAGATGTGGTGGCACACGCTTGTAATCTCAGTGGCTCAGGAGGCTGAGGCAGGAGGATTGTGAGTTCAAAGCTAGCCTCAGCAAAAGTGAGGCACTAAGCAACTCAGTGAGACCCTGCCTCTTTAAATAAAGTACAAAATAGGGCTGGGGATATGACTCAGTGGTCGAGTGCCGGTGGGTTCAATTCCCAGTACCTCCTCGCACCACCACCCCCCGAAAAAGAAAAAGAAATGTTTTGGTGGGCATAAGAAAACAGGGATAAACCCATATGCTCACTTTTATGAGCTTGGTGGGAGAAGCATTGGATTTTTTTAAGCTTTGGTCTCACCTCCCCAGAGTGTTAGTTCATGATTTTTCAACCCTGGATTTCCAAGAAACCAGACCTTCATCTCCAGCAGATATTACCTCTCTGCATCCTCTGATAGAATACTCTTTGAAAGAACGTATATCATCAATGAGTAGATTCATAAGGCGTAGTTTATCAGCAAACCCTACTACAACGAAGTGTCCAGATGGGTGAAGGCTGATTGTGTATGCTTCTTCTTGATATTCCTTAAAAAGTTCCAGAGTGCTGTGAAAAAGATCCATTATTGAATTTAAGCCAAATTCCTAAGTTCCCCAAGTCCTCCATTGATATGACATATATTATTATCACAGTATTAGGGATATTTTATTGTTTGCAATTATTGTTTCCTCTGTTTTCTAGACTTTGGTTACTTATGGCACCTAGTATGGCCATTGGGGGAACTGGTCAAGGTGTTGCCTAGTGATGTCAAAAACACACCTCTGTTGGGATTCCAAGAACCATGAGTACTGTGCAACTATTCTTTTTGTTTCTAGTAGTCCCAACAGCTGCATACCAGAACAAAGAAAACACTACAGGTGTAGTCTAGGGTGGGAAGTTCTTAGGGAAGTTGCATCAGAAACCTACAATTGCTAGGGACTTGGGGGTGACTAGGGCAGTGATGAGGAGAGAGGAGTAAAGGGTGTGGACACTCCAAAGAGTGAACAGCAGACCCAGGGAGAACTGGGGAGACAGTAGAGTTTATGTTAGAAGGTGAGACATTGGTGTGTTATCTTTATGTCCCAAGTGTACAGCACAGTGTCTAGCATGGAAAGCATTTAATAAACTACAAGTAATTTTCTAGTCCATTCAAGAGTGAAAAATAGGTAGGTTGACTGACTTTGATTTTTAAAAAGGGCTTTTCCAACTGAAAGCTTCTAAGTAATTAAATTGTAAAACTCTGTAATTAAAATTTTCACATATGTAAATTTAATAGGAATTCTGCAAACTACAGCAACAAAGCCTTTCATTTCTTACTTTGATTCATAATTCCAGATGCGAACAGATCGATCCAGTGAACAGGTAGCAATGAGGGGTTTGCGGATGCAGGTAGATAGACCAGTGATGGATGCTGAGTGTAATGGGTACATCAGGTACTCGAAATGAGCAGGCTCCCCCTGGAAACCATACAGAATGAGATCCAGAAGGGTGAGCAAAAAATTTGGTTATGTATTTCAGCTCTAATTAGTACCGAGGAACATTAATTAGCCTATATGCATAGAAATTAGGCCACGGAAAATTATTTTAATGTTATGCATATTTTCGTATGCTGCATTATTTTAAAATATTATTTTTTAATGGGAATAAACATTTTATTCTATGAGTACCCCAAATTTAATTTAACCATTCCTTTATTGTGGGGACATTTAAGTGGTTTCCAATTTTTATTAATTAGGAAAAAACATTAGTCTAAATATCCTTACATGTAAGTTTTTGAGTATCTCTCTGCTGTTTCCTTAGGATACATTTGTAGAAATGTGGTATGGATGATTTTAAGTATCTTAATAGGTAACCCCAAGTTTCTTTCCAAAGAAACTGCACCAGCAACAAATGAGAGTAAATGAGTAAGTGATTTCAAATTGAAATGCATCCTATTGCATTGGTCATGAAGGTGTTTCTATGTCTGTGGACCAGAGGCATTATCCCAGGGACTTCTGCATGAGGAATGAAGCTGGGAAAGTTAATGAGGTGCACATATTTTACATCTGTCCACAAGTCAAGACAAAGGCAGAGATGGAAATTCCCTCGAATTTTGGGCTTTCTTATATGCACTTACTCCTTCCTTCTCTACCGTCTCAGGGAAAGAGGTGCCATGCTGGGTGGTGGGGGTGGCACGAAGTACTTCTATTCATCTCCATCTGTTACCCCCCTTCCTACCCCACCCACAATATCTTGAAGATCCCCGTCTCCATCTGCACATTCCCATTAGCTTTTTTTAAAAAAATATTTTTTAGTTGCCAGTGGATCTTTATTTTATTTATTTATATATGGTGCTGAGAATCGAACCCAGTGCCTCACACATGCTTGTCAAACACTCTACTCTACTGAGCCACAACCCCAGCCCCTCCCATTAGCTTTAAATACACTCAAATCTTTCTTGCCTTAAAAATAAAAGCAACCCTTTCCTTTCCCCCTGTTCTTTGCACCTATGCCTGCAATAGTTGTTTGTCAGGTGAGAAGTCAGACAAATGGGTGTACTGGTTTCCCTTAGAATTCATGACTACAAACCTGTAGGGGTCATTTAATACTGCTTGGCAATGTTTTCCAAATATGTTTATTTTCTGAATCTCCAACATGACTATTTCATACTATTTATTCTCTCTTTTTCAAACTTCCTAAACTTTTTCATCCATGTCCTCTTCTGAGGACCTCACCTCATATTTCTTTGATACTTTTGTTTCATTTTCTATCTCAAAAGCATAATTAAAACTCATATAACATAAATTTTACTTTATGTTTATTTAATCTCCTCCTCCGCCTTCAATTTCCTATTTCTTCCTTATCATGGATGGATTTTACTGATCTTCTTGACTATAGGTATATTTTGTATTTCTATAAATGAAAGGTGCTTTAGATCTCATCCTGTATTTTTACTTTTTCCTCTCAACACTATATTTTTAAGGAATCACCTATGTTGTGGCATGTATAATTTATTGCTTCTAATAATGTCTGTATTCTCTAATTTTCGTCTAGTTACTTTATTTCTCCATTACCACTAGGGATGAATACTAGGAGCGTCTTAACTGTCCATTGCTACAAATACAAAGATGAACATCTTTGTACATGTTTAGCTTGTGGGTTGAAATTTCTGGTATGTATTCAGTGGCAGACTATTGGCTACCAAGACACATACATTTTCTATTTAGTTTTCTAGAAAGAACTATCAGATTGCTCTCTAGAATGGTTGTACCTATTTACACGCCTATCAAGGCACAACAGGATTCCCATTCCTTTTTGTCCTCAGAAATCTCTGGTTTTTTAATAATATAATAAAGAAAATCCTTGTAAAGAAGGATCTTAGTGTTGTTTTAATTCACATTTTTCTGCTCATAGGCAACAGAAACTGTGAGAACAAGGTGTTTGATTTAATAGACAGTGGTTTCAAGGTAGCAATTATAAATATGTACCAAGAAATAAAAGAAATCAACGATTTAAAAAGTAAAGAAAAAAGTGATGACAATGTTTATTAAATACAGAACATCAGTAGAGGAATAGATGGTATAAAAATAGAAATTCTCGAGTTAAAAAGTATAATAATTGAAATAAAAATTCACTAGAGGGGCTCAAGAGTGAACTGGAACTGGCAGGAGAATTAATAAACATAAATCACTAAAGATAATGCAATTTGAAGAACACAGAAAAAGAATGAAGAAAATCAAGAGAACTTCAGATAAGTGTGGGACATCATATTAAGCACACCAACATATACATAATGTGAGTATTAGAAGAGAGGAGAGAAAGAGCCAAAAAATATTTGAATACTGGCTGGAAATTCTTAGAAAAATGCAAACTGAAACTGACTCAAGAAGGACCAGATAATCTAAATAGATACATAATAAGCGAAGAGATTGAATTAGAAATTAAAAAAAAAAACTTCTCACAAAGAAAAGCCCAGGCCTAATGGTTTCACTGGTGACATTTATTTAAGGAAGAATCAAGGCTAATTCTTCACAAACTCTTCATAAAGTAAGTGAGGCTGGAATATTTCTTAGTTAATTCTAGGAGGCTCTGATACTAAAAACAAAGACATCAGAAGAAAACTAGAGATCAGTATCTCTTATGAATATCAATTCAAAAATCCTCAATAAAATATTATGGTTTGAATCTAACAACATATAAAAAGGATTATATACCATGACCAAATGGATTTTATCCTAGGAATACAAGGAAGATTTAACATCTGAAAATCAATTAATATAATATACTATATTAATAGAATAAAAAACAAACTACGTGGTCATCTCAATATACACTCAAAAAAAGTATTTGATAAAATCCAACATCCTTTCAGAGAAAAACACTCAACTAGGAATGGGGGCAGGGAAATTTTGTAGCCTGAAATATGATATCTTCCAAAACACTTTGGATAATATCCCACTTAATGGTAAAAAATAGGATACTTTCATCTTAAGATCAGGAACAAGATAAGGGTATCTGTATTCATAACATCTATATAACAGGGTTCTAGAGGTTCTAGCCATGGCAATTAGACAAAAATAAATAAATAAAAGGCATTCAGATTGGAAAAGAAGAATAAAATTTCTCTATTGCAAATGACATGATCTTGTGTATGGAAAATTCTTAGGAATCCAGTTAAAAACTATTGAAACAAATAAATGAGTTTGATAAGGTTGCAGGATATGAATCAGTATGCAAAAATTTAATTGTATTTTTATATTCTTGGAACTAATAATTAAAAAACGCAGCACAACTCTATTTACAATAGCATAAAAAAATATTAGCTGGGCATGGTTGTACATGTCTGTAGTCCCAGCTACTTGGGAGGATTAGGTGGAGGACCTTTGAGCCCATGAATTCAAGATCAGTCTGTGCAATGTAGTGAGAAACCCCCATCTAAAAATATATTTAGAAATAAATTTAACTAAAGAAGTGCAAAAGTTACATTCTGAAAGTTATAGAATATTATCAAGATAAATTAAAGATCTAACCAAATGGGTAGAAAAATCCAATGTTTATGGATTGGTAGGCCTAATATTGGTAAAATAGCAATAAGTGCATTAGGGCTGGGGATGTAGCTCAGTGGGAGAGCACTTGCCTAGCATGCATGAGGTCCTGAGCTCAGTCCCCACAATCCCCACCCCCCTACAAACATATAAATGTAATAAGTCCCAAATCGCTCTACAAATTAAATGCTAATCCTATAAGGATCCTAGATCACTTCTTTGTAGAAATTAGCAAACTGATTCTAGAATTTATGTGGAATTGCATGGGACTTGGAATACCTATAACAATCTTGAAAAAGAACAAAGTTGGAAAACTCATGCTTTCTGACTCCAAAACTTACTGATAGGCAACAATAATCAAGACAATGTGAAACATGGCAAAAAGTAACACAATGTGGTACAGGCAGAAAGACAGATGATTAATGGAACAGAGAATAGATAACCTAGAAATAACCTGTGTATCAACTGATTTTTAACAAGGGAACTAAGACCATTCAATGGAGAAAGAATAATTTTTCAAAAAGTGGTGCTGGAACAATTGGACCCCTACTCTATGCCTCTTACATAAATGAACTCAAAATGGATCAGAGACTAAATGAAGAGCTATTATTGTAATACTCTTAAAAGAAATATAGGGGTAAATCTTTATGACCTCAGCTATGACAAAGGATTCTTGAATATAACATTAAAAGGACAACCAACAAATTAAAAAATAAATTCAGCCAGGCAGGGTAGCTCATGCTTATAATCCCAGCAACTTAGGAGGCTGAGGCAGGAAGATTTTAAGTTTGAGGCCAGCCTTACAACTTAGCAAGACCGTGTCTCAAAAAGGGGTGGGGATGCAGCTCAGTGGTAGAGCACCTCTGGGTTTAATCCCCAGAATGAGTGAATGAATGAATGAATGAATAGACTTCATCAAAACTGAAAACTTTCATGCATCAAAGAACACTATCAAGAAAATAAAAGGACAACATACAGAATGGGAGAAAATACCTTCAATTTACACAACTGATAAGAGACTTGTATGTATAATATATAAAGAACACTTACAACTCAATAAATAAAGGACAACAGAATTTAAAAAGTGGGCAAAAGATCTGAATAGACATTTTTCTTTTTTTTTTTTTTTTTTTTTTTTTTTTTTTTTTTTTTTTTTTTAAGAGAGAGTGAGAGAGTGAGCGAGAGAAAGAGAGAGAGAGAATTTTTCAACGTTTTATTTTTCATTTCTCGGCGGACACAACATCTTTGTTGGTATGTGGTGCTGAGGCTCGAACCCGGGCCGCACGCATGCCAGGCGAGCGCGCTACCGCCTGAGCCACATCCCCAGCCCCTGAATAGACATTTTTCAAAGAAGACATACAAATGGCAAAAAGCACATGAAAAGATGTTTACTATCATAGTGATCAGAAAAATGCCAACCAAAACCATGAGGAGACTCCACATATTGTGGGATGGCTATAACCAAAAAGCCAGATAATAACAAGTGTTGACAAGGATAAAGAGAAATCAGAACCCTCATATGCTGCTTATCGGTATATAAAATGGTGTAGCCCCCTTGGAAAACATTCTAGAGCAGCTCCTCAAATGGTTATACACAGAGTTACCATGCCACACAATTCTATTCTTAGGAAGAGAAATGAAACCATATACCCACACAAAAACTAGTTCAGGCATGTTCACAACTGTAGTATTCATAAATATCCCAAAGATGGAGAAACCTTAATATCCAAAACTGATGCATAAACAAAACATGGTATATTCATACCATGGAATACTATTTAGCTATAAAAAGGAATGAAGTAGTGATACATGCTACAACCTGGACGAACCTTAAAAGCATTATGCTAAATCAAAGAAGCCAGTCATAAAAGTCCACATATTGTATGATTCCATTTATATGATATGTCTGGAATAGGCAAATCTATAAAGATATGAAGTAGATTAGTGGTTGCTTAGGGTTGGGGAAGGTAGGGTAGGAGGATGGAGAGATAATAGCTAAAGAGTGAGGGCTTTTATTTGGAGGTGGTGAATATGTTCTAAAATGAACTCTGGCATTGGTGTACAACTCTGTAAATACTCTAAAATCTGTTGTATGATATACATTGAATAGGTAAACTCTATAATGAATTAATTCAATAAAGCTCTTATTAAAATCCATTACTTAGAAAGGTATGTTAAAATCTCCTACCACAATTGTAGGTGGTCTATTTTCCTTGTTGTTTTGTCAACTTTCACTTTATATATTTTGGATCCATGGTGCTAGGTGCATACAGATTTAAAATTATGATATCTTATTAAGTGAACTTTTTATAAGTACAATGTGAGCTTCATCTTTAATGGTACTTTCAATGGTAATGTCTGTAGTGTATTTATACTAGCTTTCTTTGTCATTCTAAAATGAAGCAAAAATCCAACAAAAACATTTTTTATATAAATACTCTTGTGCCCATAAACAAGTATAGCAAATTAATTCCTTGAAGAGCAATTGCTGGTAAAAGGTAGATAGGTAGGATTTACATGTGACAATGCCAATGTGTCCTCCGAAGAGGATACAGCAACAATCACAATCCCACCCTGTGTATCAGATGCTTCTAAGCTGATATCTTAAAGTTAGTGTTTCCTTTACTCAGTTATGAAGATGGGGTGGGGTGAATGATCCAGTCTCAGCTTATGAAGAATTTGTCCACACAGTGGCCAGTCCCTCCACCACCGCAGGCCCATCTGGAAGGAGGCTTTGCTGGGAAGACTCACTTTGCTGATCTCTGTCAGGGACATGGTGATGCTGTAGATCTGGTTCTTACTGGTGCTGGCAACCAGGGTTTCCTCCGAGGGACTGAAGCACATGCACAGAATGTCCTGTTTGTCAGACTGACTTGGGTCGTTGCTCTGTGGGTCCACAGGAATCTGCTCAAGACACAAGATGGCTGTTAGTAATGGCCCCACACGTCAGCATGTCCTCAGGCCTGGAGATTTCTCTCAGATCCCTTTAGCTTACAGACCCCCAGACCAGGATGCTTCCCAGGCTCCTCTTCAGGTGTGGAGAAGGCAGGGCCTGAGCACCTCTGCTTCTATGGGGCTTCAACTCTGCTATCCATTCACCTTTAAGTGATGAGTGGCTGAATAACAAAAAGCACTATGAAAATTGTCAATCCATCATCTCCACTTGAGATTCCCCTTTCAATACGCATTTATCTAAACCTCACTCCTGCCCACCTGTTGGAAGTCCAGGGCATGTGCTATCTGGCACCAGGCATACCAGTGTGCATTTCAGGGCAGCAGAGGGCTGTGGCAGCCCTTCCACCATGTGTGGTAGTGACAGGATAGAGAAAAAAGAAGGGTCACACAGTTTCTGCCAATAGTCTCTGACAGGGTCTATGGTTCTCAGCTAGACAATAAAATCAGATTTCCTTTCCCTGGCTGTTCATCTTCTTCTATTGGCAATCAAACTTATTGAAGGGCTGGCCTACACACCTATTTTTTATTTTTATTTATTCCCTTTCATTATGTATGGCAGTGTGTCAGCTTAGAACCAACTTCCTTAGCAAGAGTCCTAAAGTACAAGAAGTAAAATAAAAAAATCAATAAATGGGATGGTATCAAGCAACAAAGCTCCTGCACGGCTATTTCTGCTTCCTTACCACAAACTCAATTTTTAATTCCTTAGCATTTGGCTTCCACTGCATCATTCTATCCTCAGGAAGATCAGAAATCTCCTTATCAGAAATCTCCCTGCTCAGTCCTCATTATCTTGGCTTTTCTTGATCTGTGGAGCTGAGGGCAGGACCTACCTCCCTAGGGGGCAGGACACTGGGCTCTCATGCTTAGGCCCCTCTGCTTGGAGTGCCATCTTTCCATGCAGTCCAATCCTTCTTCATGCAGTCAGTTTCCTTGCTTTGGCAGGTTAGAGCTGGCTCTAGGAAACCTTCCCTGGCCCGCCTTGGCTGGGTGGGCACTGATATTCCCTAATGTGCCCACAGTCCCTGGGAGTTCCCTCTTGTCACATTTATCACACTGTGAAAAGTACAATGGGTGCCCTCGCACTGGAGACCTCGTCCCACCTCTGTATCCCAGTGCTCACAGCAATGCCTGGCATGTAGTAGGTGTTCATCAAATGGATGGTAGCAGCTTTCTTGTTCTCCTCCAGAGACAGCGAGTTCCTGCCCCTCTGGCTTCCTGCCCTCTTCCTGGCTTATCTTCTTCACTGAGTTGATCCCCATCTGACACCCTGATTGCATTTGTTTCTTTGCCTGTCCTTTGAGGTCTAACATCATGCTTCTCATGTGATGGCTTCTCCATGTAGTTCCAGCCCCTGCCACAGAGCCTGGCACATGGTAAATACTCCAGTATTCATTAAATAAATAGATCAAGAAACATAAGAGTGGGTTGCTTTATAGGCAAAGTAAGCTCACACCACTCCTGCCTTCTCCCCCTCAGCCCACACCCTCCTCACTCTGACCCCCGATTTTCCTCTTTGGCACAAAACTTTCCCCAAGCATCCATCTTCAAAGCCTGGCATCATCTCTGAGGGCTCCTTGCCTCTCTGACCTCCCACCTCCATTCACACTTAACCTTCAGAAAGGTGCTCTTTTCCCCGCCTTCCCTGGTACCTACTACCATCGTCTTAGACCTCACTACCTTTTGGCTGCCATAACAAACACCTCTCAATGGATTCCTAATCATAGCTAAACAACTACTACTATTCTTGGAGCACCACACACCAAGCACTGCACACGCTGATTTTCAGAGACTGTCATTTCATTCTTTCAACAACCATCCTTCTTGGTGTAAGTGTGCTACTTTTCTCAATAAAGAAACATGGATTTTGGTAGATCCAGCAACTCATCTCGAGTCACTCAGTCAATAAATGGCAGATCTAAGTCAGAATTCATTCTTTGTATTTTTAGCAGCTTTCAATCCAATGCCTCTAGACTCACCCCCCACTATGTATTACGGGCAGATCAGTGTTTTAATAAGCATGACCTTTCCCACTAGACAGCCTTACAGGGTGCTGCTGAGTTATGCAAATCACACCCCCAGGCTGGCGTTGGAGATCTTTGACCAACCTCAGCTCCCCTCTTACCCTTTCCAGTGCTTTCCAATCCCTCTTGGCTGTGGAAAAGGTCTTCCCCACATACCCCTGCTTGTCCCAGGATGCCTCTGCTAAAGCTGTCCTCTTCATCTGGAGTACCTGGTTTTGTTTCTTCCTGTCAAATGCTATCCATCTCCTAAGACCCTGCCTCAAAGATTACCATTAAACACCAAGGAGCCTTCTAGATTCTTCCCCAACTCAATACATATTCTCTCTCTTTACAATACCTTGTATTTATTCCACAAACATTGCTGGCTGCTTATTATGTGGCAAGTAATATGTTTGGTCTTAAACATTAAAACTGATCTAATAATTACTATGAGAACACTAAGGTTCCAAGAAGAAATGTAATTTACTCTACAGTTCTTTCCCAGGATTCAAAACTAGACCCTTCCTGCTCCTAAACCCCAATTTTGTCGGCTTCATCCTGAATCCTCCCTCAAGACAGATACCATCTCAAGTCACCATTTCTGTTCAGCACTCCAACCCCATCCCTCTCCATCAAGTGCCCTGTCAGAGCTCTGCTCTTGGACAACAAATGCCAATAGGACCCTGGTTTGCTTCTTCCTTCCTCTATTCCTTACCCGGATTTCCCTGCTCTCTCGGTAAAAGTCCTTTTCTTCTATCTTTTCAAACAGCAGAACTCTTCCGGGTCCAGCAGAGCAGGCAAACCCCTTTGAATAGGCAGCAATGGCGAACACCCGGGGCATGACCAGTTGGTTGTGGCTACTGGTCGTCACGATCTGTTCAAAGGAAGGGACTGGGGAACTGACTGGTGGAAATTCGACCAGGCTGGAAAAGGAAAACAGCACATAAAGGGGTCAGACAATCCCACGAGATGAATTCTGCTCAGAAGAAGAAAGAGGGCTGTCCTTGGATGTGGCAGAAGCCACTCAATGATCTCCTTTCCTATTGCCAAACTGCTATCCTTTGGCCTGGGAATGCCACAAACTCCAAAGACAGAAGACTGGAAAGCTACACATTTATTTGGTAGTTTCTCAACCCTCATGGTCATGATAATGATATGATGATTCCCATTCTGTTTAGATAAAAGTGTCTCAGAAGGGTTGAGTTTTCTAAGGTCACACAACTGTGGCTGAGATTGGATCCAGGTTTTCATTTTTATTCACTTATTAATCCATTTGTATAATACATATTTATATTTGCTTATAAATATTTATCTGAAGTTATACTGTGTTAATGGCTTTGTGAAATGATGGTAAGAAGGACTGACACAGTCCCTGCTCTCAGAAGCTTACAGTCTAGAGGGATATATACCAAGGACTGTTAGGGGCAGCTGAGTACAATGACAGAGGAGCTCATCAGCAGATAACAAGGGCTTTCTGAGGGGAGCAGAGGTGGAGAACTCTCAGCTGAGACCTGCAGCACAAACAGGAGCAAGTCAGGTGTGTGCATGTCTGGGGTATGGGGTGAAGTGGGGGATGGAGGGAATTGCATATGGCCCAGTCCACAAGCAAGGGAGTGCCTTGGGCATGTGAAGTAGATCCAGGCAGGAATTGAAGCTCCATGTCAGAAAGGGTAAGAATGTCAAAGATGTGTGGGCTGAACAATGTGGTCTGGGCTTTGTGCTAGGAGTCTGGACCCATTGAAAGACTGTGCACACAGCACACTGGAGAGGGAACAGGGACTTATTAGGAGACTTCCACATAATCATAATAAAAAGGAGATATCACTGTAATGGGAAGATGTTGAAAATGGGTGGACTGACAGTCACTGAGGAAGAAGAATCCACAGGATGCCCTGTGGTTGAGGGCCTGGGCTTTGGGGTTGGACAGATCTCAGGCTGAATCCTGATCCTGCCACTTAGAGTATGGTGATCTTGGGTGAGTCATTTAACAACTTTAAGCCTATTTCCTGCTCTATAAAATGGCCACGATAATCATATATACCACACAGGTAGGACTCAAATGGGAATATACAGAATGTGATTAAAAGAGTGTCTGCCACATTCAATGACACTTTCCAGTATGTGTGAGACATGATTATTCTTGGTTATAAGAGAGGTACTCCTTCCTGAACTCCTCTTTGCCCATATTCCTCTTTCAAATTTAGGGACAACATTCCCTAGCACTTCTGTTATCTGTCACCTCCCACTCAATTTTGAACTCCTAGAGGACTTGCATCCTCAGTACCTAAAAAGATGCCTTGTAAATTGCAAGTGCCAAGTGGGCATGTATATAATAGTTCAGTAAACCAGGCAGCCAGCCAATAGAACAAATATTTTTGAAAAAACTATAATTTTGAAGACTAGTTATGATAAAGTGTGTAGAGAATTATAGAATACTTTCTTTATCTCCCCTTTATTTTGTGGTATTGGGGGTTGAACCCAGAGGCTCTCTATCACTGAGTCATACATACCCCCAAGCCTTTAAAAAATTTTGTTTTGAGACAGGGTCTTGCTAAGTTGCTGAGGCTGGCCTCAAACTTGGGATCCTCCTGTCTCAGCCTCCTGAGTCCCTTACAGGCTTGTGCCATTTTACCCAGCTTAAAATGTGTATAAAAGAAGTTAGGTATCATAATAAAAAAATTGTATCTAGAAATGGTTATAATTGGCAGATTTGTGCTTGAATATAGGAAGAAGGAAAATGAACATAGTTTTTAAGGTAGAGGGGTTATGAGTGGATTTTGAAGAATGCCCTCTCTGATTAATGTTCTCAGTACAGTAAGCATGCGGGTATCAGCCCATGGGGCACCGTTACCTCTCTGACTCGTGGATAACCTCCAGGTTCTTTGAGCTAGCCGTGGGCTCCTTGACCATTATGTTGGTTTCCCAGCGCTGGTCTCCAGATTCAAAGAGAAAAAGCTTTCCTGTATCAGTGCCAACAATGACCTTGTCTTCAGCCACCCAAGCATGGGCTAGATAGTTTTGGGATTCTCCTCTCTGAAAATTGGTTTGCTTTAGGGTTCCCTCAGCAAAACGCAGAAGCTTAAACATTCCATTTCCAGTGACACAAACCTGAGTGTTATCCTGGGGATTAATGCTCACCTGCAAAAAGTAAGAGAATAAAAGCAAAAGATATATAAAAACTAACCTTAATGGAATTATTTCCAACTTTTCAAATTAATACTCATTGCAGGTAGTTCAGAAACTCCCTTACACATCACTAAGTCAAGGAATTTTATACCATGTTTGATGAGGGCACACATGTGTATCCATGTAGATGTAGGGCCCATGAGTTCCACAAAGAAAATCTACAAAGGTGAAATGCAGAATGAGCATGTTCCAATAATAATCAAACTCTGTGCCAACAAAATGGAATGAAGCTCAGTGTGAAGAGCGGTGACAGTGATTGGGAGACCAGTGCCTGAGATTGGTATCCCTGATAACTTTGTGGCTGTGGCATGCTTGGTGCCTGGGAAAGTTTCTGTGCACAGGTGCAGGATGCTGGGTTGCTGTGGTAATGCCCTCCATGGGGAGTCTCTATGCTAGAGCTTATCAGCTTCAACCTTGCTCTAAGGCCCACAGCTCCTGGGAATAGAGGAATTCTCTTGCTAAGACAACCACAATGTTTTACCAGCTCTGCTGCTCCTGAACCTGCAGCATAATAGTAACTTTAAACAATGGATTTTCTTGAAAGCTACACAATGCTCCTATAATTGTAGAATGTAACTGAGGAATAAGCTGCATAATGTTGCTAACTCTGTAACTTTCATGAATACAAAGAATAATGCTTGCATAGTCTTTAATCTAATTAATGATGTGTGTGTGTGTGTGTGTGTGTATATATATATATATAAAATAAAGATTGCTGGTTTAATTCTTTAGAACTGCTTCTCCATCAGAGAGTAATGCTCCACCCAATCCCAGGTGTTAATTTCACAATCTGAGTTTGTGAGTCTTATTTCTTCCAATCTCCCATCACCCCTCACTGGAACCTGCTATTTTGGCTGCGCTGGTTGCGGCAGCTCAGCTAGAAATGGAGAAATGAGGGCTGGTCAGGTGTGTGCACATGTCTAGGGGCATGGGGTGGAGTGGGGGGATGGAGGGAATTGCCCTGTCCATGGAGGAAAGAAATCACCTATCAGGAGAATCTGCATGGTCTCCCACCAACTGAGTTTCCTTCCCTAGAGGCTCTATCCTAACATACTCTAATGGGCAGTCAACCTGCTCTCCTCACTAGGCATGGAGCAACTTGCAGGGCTGTGTGTGGCTTCTTCATCTCTGTATTCCCAGCTGGGTTCATAGTGGGCATCCAATAAATGTTCAGTGGATCTACTTGAGAGGGGATGCTCTCTGCACGGAGCAGGGATGCCTCCTCAGGCCTCATTATGGCCTGCCTTTGGTTTGATTCTAAGATCACCAAGCAACCTTCTGATTACTAATTTTGCCTCTAACCTTCTCTGTATTAGGAATGAAATACACTGGATAAATGATGTGAGTTTTCTGGTTGTGATGTCAATCTCCTGTGAGATGAATAATTTAGGCTTGAGATGCTAATTGATTAGCTAGTATCTCTGGACATAAACAGAACTGAGATCTTGTAAAACTGAGTATAAGATCCTAGACTGAACCAAGAAAAAACCTTTGAACTCCCTGCCTAAGAGGCAACGAGCTTCCTAATGAGTCTTCTTTATTTTTCTCTCAAAGAACAATCAAGAATTGTTACCCATATAACCACAATTTCACTGAAAGCTTCCTAAAATGTACCATTTTGCATTGCATTCTTGAAATCTTCCTGCTGCCTAGCAAAACTGCTGGAAATGACCAAAGGGCGGGGGGAGAGCATGCAAGTGAGCCTGTTTTAAAAATTCACCTCTGGGCCTAACCTGTAACCAGAAAGCAGTTCTAGGTAGAGGAAAGAAGGTAGGAGCTGGAGTCAGGAAAAATCACCTGTGTGATTTTGTATGAATTATTTAATCTCTTGGAGCCTCAGCTCCCTCATCTATAAAATGGGAATAATAATTTTGCATTCCTTATATAAAATTATATTTATATATATTCCTTGTGAGACCAAAATTTTAAAATGCATGTAAGAAATATATACTATGATACAAAACAAGGATTCAATAAAAGACTGCTCTTACTATTCTATGAGCTACATGATACCTGTTATACTAGGAGGTACCTGGTAGATAGGGTTGTTCTGAGTGTCAGTTCTAATAATGGCCATTACTTTCTGCTTTTCCCACAGCCAATAGACAAGGTTTGATTCTGGAGGTGATGTCTGAGTCAATAGATACTTGGAGTCTGGAGAAAAGGCCATGCTGATAAATTTCTGAACTGGAAAGTCAAAAGTATTAAGGACTTTGCGCTTCCGGCACGGGATGGATGACAGCTCATAAATGGTGATTACAGGTTTCTCCTGCACAATCTCGGAGATGGCGAGGTACCGCCGATTGGGGCTGATGGACAAGGCCAACATACCCTGACTCTTGTCTGAGCCTGCAAACAGAGGGAAAAGGGGATAGTGAGGGTAGGTTGTGCTTTCACCAAGACTCAAGCAGGCTCAGCAGTGACACTGCTGACAGAGGAGAAAGGTGCACGAACACCTAGTTATCAGTTCCTGGCCATCCCTCCGTACAACTACACCTGGGGTGTTATGAAAATGATCAGATGGGCACCTCACTGAGGATGAGGTGGGAGAAGTCAAGGAACCCTTCGTGAAGGAAGAGGAGTTGGGATGGAGGATGGGATATGTGGTGGCAAAAGTTGGAGCAACGTTGTGGAGGTGACAAAGAGTAGAGTGCTGTGGGGGAACTGGTAGCAGCAGGTATTGCTGGAGAAATGTATGTGAGTAACGATGATCAAAGATGGATCCGGAAGAGAGGAACAGGTCCAATCATAGAAGCTTTAGTGCTCTGAGTGGCCAGCACTCAACACTTTTAAAGGCCGGGATATTAACTCAGCCTCTCTTATATTTAGGTGATCTGTGTGACATTTTAGTTATGAGACGGATGCAGAAGTCTGCTGAAGTGGTTTTATGATAAAGCTTTATGTTTTCTTGAAGATCAAGGGCAGATGCATTCTATCCCCCTTCTCCTGGAATATAGAGGTAATGTCTCAAGATATAGCAGTTTTCTTGCATTCACGAAGTAATGAGCATGAAAATGAAAGCTGTGGTCCTCTAGAAAGCAGAGCCTGAGGCAAAGATTAAAATGTAAATCTTTTTTTTCAGGAAATTCAATGAGGGCCACATTGCAATTTTCATGGGCCCTAGACACTTTTGCTTACATATGTCCCTTCCTCCATAAAATAGTACAAGTATATTTATTTTCCTACACTATTTAAAAAATACATGCAATCACACATTTGATGACTGCATTAATATAAAGATGAATATGATTCAGGCTGGATTCACTCTTATATATTCATTATTGTTATATTTACTTTTTCTTATTTTAAAACAAATTTAAAACATTTTCATGGGCCCCTAAAGGTATTGTAAGCCCTAGGCACTGTGCATAGTGGAAAAGTCTTCTGTGGGTGTGGGGACCTGGGCAGGGAGGATGTGTGAAGCAGGGGAAGATGCGCTAGGAAGTGATGGGCTAGGTCCCCGTCTGATGGACTCCATGCTGGGAGGGTCACAGCAAGTTGCCCAGCACATGGAACTTTTCTGGAAGAGCTACAGGCAATAAGGGAAGCTCAGGGAAGAACCAGGTTTCGGGGTCATTGAGAACTTTGCCAATGATTTTGGATTACACCTGGGAAGCAATGAAAGCCACTGAAAACTTTTAGGAAAGTTGGATTTCCAGATGGAAGGCAGCCCTGGAGGGGATGAGAGTAGCCAGCAGGTTATTTGCAGAAGCGAGAGGTAAGGGTGCAATACACTATAAGGCGGCAGTAGGGGTGAAAGTAATGGGAGGAGGGGAGATTAGAGAAATGCCAATAGGTAGAACCAGTAGGATTTAGTGACTGCTGGAATGAGGGAGAGAAATGAGAATGAATTCAGGTGATGGGGACGAGTGGGACCCCTGGGATAGAATTTAGACTGAGGGAGTTAGGGGTGACGGTGAAGACTATGCCCCATGACTTGCTTACACAGCCCATTCACATACTTAGTATTTATGCGTACTTGCTCCCAGCTTTTTACAATATTTTTAAGCTTAAACCTTTAATTCATCTTGGACCCATGATGATAAAAAATATGAAGTGAGGATATAAAGTGGTTCCCATTTCTCAAACACCTAGTCAGTTGTCCCAGCACTAATTAATAATGAATGAATATATTAAAGTTATATTTTTGCATATATAGCATTGGGTTTCTAGAATATTTACGCTAGGACAGCATGACTTTTGTAGTCATATCTTTATCATGAGTTTGAATATCTGGCAGTTTGATCTTTAGGAAATAGCAGGAGAAAAGAAGAAATGAGAATTGGATTTTTGATACAGTGCACAAGGTATATTGTGGGGCATTTGGGTAAAGAGGCCTAGCAGTTAGATATGATTCTAAAGCTCAGGGCAGAGGGTGGGACTAAAAACTCAGATTTGAAGTAAAAGGCCTGGTGAGAAGCTAAAGCTGGGAGCATAAGATTGCCTAGAGAAGATGAAGGAAAACTCACTCCTCCTGGGTTCCCTATTTTAGGTGGTCTTCTAACTATAGCCCTTACCAGGGGATGGAATCCAGGGACCACCTGGCATTTGCATTGCATTTTCTATATCACATTCCAGGTACCCAGGACTCTGGAATTCCCTGCCTAAATGGTCCTGAGTCTAACGACAAGACCAGCATTGGCTCTTTCCTAGGTCTCTACCATCAGAGAAGGCCTAAAGATGTTCAAAGGGTGACTGTTTACAGGATATATGGGCAGCATTTAAGTGTACAGCTGAGAGGACCCACACATGAAGGAGGTCCTGCTGATATAAAATGGAATTCAGAGCAGAAGAGATGCGGTATAGGTAGGAAGTGTGAGAATATGAGCATAATAACTGAAATGATAATCTCAACGGATATACTAAATTGTAGGCTAGATATGGCTGAAAAGAGATTCAATGAAGCCAAGAGATAAATACAAAGAAAAAAGAGTTTAAAAACATGGAGGGTTAGAGTTGAGATGGTCTGGAGTTCTTGGAGATAACAGAATGAAAAAGGTACTATATTCCAAAGTGACAATTGTTAAAAACTCTCTAGAATCACTGCGAGATGCCTACCCTTGGATCCAAGAATCCCTAGGAAGATTAGAAAGGGAAAATAAAACCTACAATATAATAAAAACAGACACAGAAAACTTCTTAAAAGCATCCAGAAGAACAGACTGATCATCTATAGATAGAAGACCCAATGGCTAATGGCTTAACCACAACAAGAAAACAGAAGTAAAAAACATTGCAGCAAAAACTGCAATGTGCTGACAAAAATTCTATACCTGGCCAAGTTCTCTTTCAAATATGAGGACGAAATTAAAGTAATTTTAAATTAACATAATCTGGGAGCATCTACCATTAACACATCATCACTAACTGTAGAAGGAAAATGATTGCAACTGGAATATCTGATTTCTAAAGAGTCATGGTGGGGAAAAAAAAAGAATCATGGTGGACAGAATTCAGTAAACTTGAGAGCAAATATAAATAAATGTCTATATAAAACAATGACTGATTTAATATTAGAAATCCATATAATCTTATGGAAATATAGAAAGTGCATGCAATAAAATTCAGTATGTGTTCATTGGGGGGAAATGCATAGCAATCTAGAAAATTAAAGGATTTTCCTTAACTTGATAAAAGACATTGACAACTGCCTGCAGTAAACATCCTTCTGTGTAACAAATATTGAAATAATTCCTTTTAAGAGTAGAAGCATGACAAGGATGTTCTCTTTCATTGTCCCTATTCAACTCTGTCTGGAGGTGCTTGCCAGTACAGTAACACAAGAAAAAGAAATAAAACCATCATTTTTTGTAGATAATATGACACTCTACGTAGAAAACCCCAAAGAATCCAGATTTGTTATTAGAATTAACAACAGTTGAGCAAATATGTTAGACATAAAAAAGCCAACTATATTTAGTACAATTTATTCTAACAGAATATTACCTGATGTTTGGTAAATCTGACTTCAATAAAATTAAGAATTTCTGTCCATCAAAAGATAACATGGGGGAGAAAATTCAAGCTCCAGATTGGAATGATCAGTACATAGACAATACAAAGTGTGTCATTAAGTCAATAAGGAAGTTACTAAAACAAAACAAAACAAAACAAAAAAACCCCAAGCCCCATGAAGAACAATAGAAAAATGGATTAAAAAGCTTGAATGAGACAAATAACACAAGGCTAAGTAGGAGTAGTCTGTAAATATGTGAAAAGATACTAATTTGCATTAGTAATAGAGAAAGGCAAAATAAATCACAATAAGATACCTCTTCTCAAGCATTAGACTAGCAAAAAATGAGAAGTTGAACATGACAAAGGGTTGGTAAAGTTGTGGAAGAATGAGGACGCTTATGCATTGTTGGCACTAAGGGTCCTCATTAATTTTATTCCTGGATGTGAGTCCTAGAGAATCTTTGCAAAGTGCAGGAACATGTATGAATGCAAGAATATTTATAGTGGTAACATTTCTAATAGCAAATAGCTGTTATTTCCCCGAATGCCCCTCAAGCCTAGGATGGGTATATAAATATATATTTGAGACATTATATTCAGAGATTGGAATACTATGCTACAATAAAATGAACTCAGTTATATGTATCAAGATGCATGAATCTCAAAAGCATGATGTTGAACAAAAGAAGCAAGTTACAGGCTACATACATTATGATTCCATTTAAATAAAATTGGAAAATAGCAAAAATAAAAATATATTTTGCATAAAATCACACATATATGTAATAAAAACTGTATGGAAAATAATACAAAATTCAAAAATGGGGGTGTGTGGGGATGGGAGAGAAGTACTGGAACTGACAATGTTCTATATATTATCTTGGATGGTTCATAGATTTTCATGTAATAGTAATTCTTTATTACATATATAGAGTATATACTTTTATATGCACATATCATAATAAAGCGTTCAACACAATAAAGAGTGGGGAAAAAGAGTGGATTGAATTGTCATAAATATCACTGACAGGATGAATGAGAACAAAAAATGTAATGTCATACAAATATTTTTTTGTGTGTGACTAAGGGTAAAATTTTCTGTGTCTTCATTGTACCAGGATTTAAAAGGTGTACTGAAGATGGTGTATTTTGGAAAACTTGTGTTTACAACTCCATAAGGGGGTCTGGTGAGGACAAAGCCAATGACACTGAAGATGCATAAAAAGAGATCTAAAAAATATTGTTTTCCTGAAATTACAATGCAAAAATACTTTAAAATTAATATTAATTTTGTTAAATTTAACTGTTTTTTTTTTTTTTTTTTGCTTCTTGGTTTTTTTCTTTTTATTTTCATTGTTCTTCTTCTTCTTTTTTTGTGCTGCTGAGGATTGAATCCAGGCCTTGTGCATGTGAGGGAAGCACTCTACCAAATGAACTATATCCCCAGCCCAATCGTATCTTTGATTGGTCTATAATAAATAATGCAAGTTGACTTTTATTTCTTCTAACTTTATAAAACTGTAATATTCCAGTTGTCATAAACTGTCTTTCCAAACGTGGTTTTGAGATTACAGGGTTCTATTTGGCACGAGCCGTTAATGTATACGTCAGGATGTTAAGGATTTTACCTGGAATACATTTTTGCCACTTCTGATCCACATTGTACTTCACACAATGATTTCCTGAAGGATATATAATAATCTGTTCATCGAAGAAAAAGATATTGTTGGCCACGTGGGCTCGAAGACCAAAAACATGCAGCCACTGAGCTACGACGGTAGACATGATCCCTTGCCAGAGTTCTGCTAAAGACCAAGCAGCGGGTCAGAGCAGAATAAGTGCATTGCCCCGCCCCGCCCCACCCAGGACACGCCCCTGGCCCCGCCCCCGAGCCCTCCTCCTCACCTCTGGGTGCCCCCCCAATCTAGCCGGTCCCCTAGGGCTCCTTCTCCCCTTTCCTTTTCTCCCTTGCACGTTCAGCTCCTCCTGACGACCTCAGGGACCTCTCCCACCTTTCGCTTCTTCACTCAGGCTCAGCAGACCAAGCACGTATCCAGAGGTGCTACCCCCTAGGGATTCCAAGCAGCCCGGGCACTTCCAAACGTCGCAGCGGTTCCTATGGCAACCACAAACCGGAAGTGTGGCTTGTAGCCGGAAGCGGAAGTCCCGATCGAGGAGCTGAGCACGGTCGGTGAGTTGTTGGTGCTGGTGTGGCTTGGGCGCACGTGGAGCTGCGAGTGTGAGTGGGTGCTGAGCGCAGCGTCCGCGGCGAGGGTCTCCCCTGCCAGTCCCGCGGGCCTCGGGCTACCCTGCGCTTCCAGGTAGGCGCGGGTCGGGCGTGCGACGAGATGGACACTCCCCCGCTGTCGGGCTCCGACTCGGATTCTGATGATTCTCTTGTCACGGACAGAGAGGTATGTCAGCAGAGCTCGCCGGTCGGGGCGCGGAAAGAGGGGCTCTTACTCCTCTGATACTGACCGCCACTGTGTCTTGCAGTTGCAGGATGCGTTTTCCCGCGGACTCCTGAAGCCAGGCCTCAATGTCGTGCTAGAGGGGCCAAAGAGGACTGTGAATGACGTGGTGAGCGCGGGCGCCGGGCAACTGGTACTCGGAAATGGGATGCGCACAAGGCAGTGTTGTGTTTGGAGACTGATTCTTGTCCCAGGAAGATGCAACCTGCCCAAAGCCTAGAGGGTCTGTCTGGGTATTTGGGTGTAGCACTTTTCTTATTGGGTTTGTGCGTGAGAGAGACAAACTCTTGCTTTTCTTGTGAGCTCAGTGTCTGAATTTCCTAGAATGGCCTGAAACAGTGTTTGGCTGAATTCAAGCGGGACCTGGAGTGGGTTGAAAGGCTCGATGTGACCCTGGGTCCGGTGCCAGAAATTAGTGACCCTCAGCCTACACCTCAGAACAAAGACCAGAAAGCTGTTAATCCAGAAGATGATTTCCAGCGGGAAATGAGTTTGTATGTTTATTTTCCACTATGGGAGAAGTTGGGGTCCTTATGCTAGAGAATAAGGGAGAGAAGGAAGTAGTGAGACTGCACTCTCTGGATCCCCAGGGAGTTAGCACATGTTTGGGAATGGGAAGACTCTTCCCTAGAGGAGGAAGAGCTAAGGGATTCTCCTTGGTTGAGAGAAGAGCTCCCTGGTCTACTAGTTCTGATTTTAAGTCCAGTTTATAGACTATTTTGAAATATTCACTTGTAAAGCTTATGTGTGTGCACATGCAGTTAGTTATTAGAACAAACTTTGTTTATGGGAGGGGGGGTTCCCTGACTGTACTTTGTTTAGTAATTATATAAAAATTCATAATTGACATTAATTTGTGTGTTAATTGGCACCTTTAGAGTAGTCATTCTTTTAAACTGCTAACTTATTTTTAGCAAAATTTCTCTCCTTTAAAATAATGGTGTACAGTGAAATCTTTCTAAGATGCCAAATTAATAAGGTTTCATTCCCACTTTTGTGTGTTTATTCATTTGTTCTTGTTAGTGAAGGTCAGATGTTGAGTGCTTCTCAGCTTGAAAAACTCATGAGAGGCAGTGAGAAGGAATGAAAGCCTTTCTCCCTCATCTCATTTCACGTTTTGCCCTGTAATCTCAGCTACCGCCAGGCCCAGGCTGCTGTGCTTGCAGTATTACCCCGCCTCCATCAGCTCAAAGTCCCTACCAAGAGGCCAACCGATTATTTTGCAGAAATGGCTAAGTCCGATCAACAGATGCAAAAGGTAAGAAATGTTTTTGTCTGGAAAGCCAAGGCTTTGTACTGAAGTATATTCAGCTGGCCTATCTCCTATAGTGTTTTAGAAAGAACTATAAACCCAATATTGGGGAGCTGGTTGTCAAAGACATTTATTATCTCTTTCAGAGATTTTCTACTTTAGATTTGGGTTGTTACCACCCATTAGATAAATATAAGAATGACTTTTTCCTAATTTAAATAACTAAGGAGAAAGGAAGTAGTATAAAAATGGTCCTAAAGTTAAGATGGCTTTCATATTTCCTAGTTGCCATGACACGGTGTACAGAGAACACAGCACAGTTGTTCTGGTGCTTCTATTGCCAGGAAGCAATGCTATCACTTGTAAATACATTTTCTTCTTGCGCCCTCACTTCTTTGTAAAATGACAGATTAATATGTGGCTCAGATACAATATAATTTAGAGTTAGGTGGCACTTGGTCCTCATTTTAACTTGAGTGGGAGAGAATTGCCAACACTGAAGCAAGGTTATATTTAAATGGATCCCCTGGGTATCAAGTTAGATGTTAGGGAACTATTGGTGGTACCCAGAGAAGCTAATCTAGAGAACAGCTTATACATGTCTCTTGTTTGTTTGTAGTGATATCTTATCCTTCAACTGAAATGTGTATGTTTGATGGAAGAGGGTGGGTATTAGATATCTGCTGGAGTTTTTTTTTTTTTTTTTGTGAGGCCTGTTAGAGAAGGGCACTGAGGCTGCATGCAGGCTTAACCTTTGTACAGACAGTGGGCATGGGGAGAAATTGGTTTTCTTTCACGGATGACAACTTTTGTGTAATGGGACAAACAGCACACTGGGAGTAGGAAGTTACTTTTAAGCTCTGGCCCCACCACTGATACTTTTGTGTTCTTGGGCAAAGTGCTCAGCCTTTGGGCCTCCTTGTCTTCATATGTGAAACATGGGTCAGAATAGATGATTTATAGGTTCCACGGTATACACTGTTCTCTGTTCTTCTGCACCCTAAGTAGATCTGACAACCTTTTGCATTTTAGATTCGACAGAAGCTGCAGACTAAACAGGCCGCCATGGAGAAGTCTGAAAAAGCTAAACAACTGCGAGCACTTAGGAAATATGGAAAGAAGGTGAGAAAGAAAATGTGTAAGGACTAGAACAAGACCATATTGTATGTGAAATCAGATTGCCAGGGTCTGATTTGGTTCTAGGCCTTGAGGGTGTTTGATCATGTGTTATCTCACAGTGGATTGTGTGCAGTGCCAGGACTAGGGTGGTAAGGGCAGGTGGAGCTGACAGCTTCTCTGGGCTTTAATCTTCACATCTGTACAGTAATGGGTTGAGTCCAAATCGGTGGTTTCCATACCTGATCTCTCAGCAAAATTACTAGGTGAAAATTTTTGAAACATTTCCATGCTTCAGAGTTTCTGGGAATCTGTATACTTTCTCCCATGCCCCCCAAAGGCTTCTCAGGTGCTTTTGATATGCATCTTGGATTGGACTCACTTGCCTTGATTTTCCCGGTCTGAGGGAAAAAAATGGTACACATGTTTTTGACTATGATTATCTGAGTTCTAATGTAAAACAAGATTAGGCTTTCTGTGAAACTGTTCTCTACTTCCTTTTTATTGTATAGTCATGTAAGAAAGATGACATTATAGTTAAGGTATTATAGTTAAGGTTGTGGGAAGGAATGAGTGAGGAGGATTTACATGGGAGTTAAGGCTTTGTCACAGTGTTTTGGACATAACCCTTGTGATCTGGGCATGGAGCCACTTGGTAATTTTCGGATAAATCCTCAGCAGAGGAAGAGGAGACTAACATCCTGTCCTCTGCTAAAGATCAGCTGTGGATTTAGTGTTTCTTTGATCTGGAGGTGGGTGGTTAACATTATCTCAAACATACTGGCAATGGCTTTATTGAAAGCAAAGCTCAGCTCATCTCACTTTCTAATTTGAGGATACCAGTGCGCAGTGGTTCCCAATGTGAGGTGATTTTGCTTCCAGGGAACATTTGTCACAGTATACACACATCTTTTGGTTGTCATATCTTGGAGTGAAGGGTGCTGCTGGCATCCAGTGGGTAAAGGGCAGGGATGTTGTTAAACACTCTGCGATTCACAGGACAGCCCCTGTGCCAAACAAAGAGTTACCCTGTCTAGAATGTCAGTAGTATTGAGATGTAGAAGCCCTGCCTTAAAGTATATTGTCTCCTTTTGTCTTTAAAGTTTTTTTCTTTCTTGTTTTCTGGGGAGTTTTTTTTTTTTTCCTCCCTTTTTCTTTTAGTGCTTTCATGTCTAGTAACAGTGGGTTGGATATTTAATCTTCCCAAGTATGACCAATGAGAAAAATTGACTGTAGACCTAAACACGATCTGTAGGATTGTGTGAAGAGGTAAGAGTACAGACAATGGAGTCAGGCTGCTGGCTTGTGTATCTCTGCTCTGCACATTCTTGCTATGTAACTTGAACAAGTACACCTTCTGTGTTTCAGTTTAATAGATAATAAGAATTTGAAGGTGAACTGAGAATATATAGAGAACCCTTAGCACATAGATGTAAATGTTAAATGGTAGTGATATTAATCACAGCATGTGGTTGTGTGTTTTCTTATCACATTGAGAGAATGTGGACACTTGGAGTAATGATTTGAAATGGGTATAACTGTCCTTGTGTCCATATCACAGGTGCAAACGGAAGTTCTTCAGAAGAGGCAGCAGGAGAAAAAGCATATGATGAATGCCATTAAGAAATATCAGAAAGGTCAGTCAAATATCTCTCTGCTAAGGATGTAGGAGAATGGGGATAGAGCATACCTGAGAGGTAATTTGAACATGGAGTGCTTTGAGTCTTCTTGATTGATGGGTAACAATTGGACCTAAGTTCTGGGAATGATATGGAGAGCAAGATGTGCTTCTTAAAATCAGTTTGGAAAATAACACCTTTATTTTGAGTTTTAAACCTTTCTTCTTTCTTAAAACATAATGGTGCTGATCAAAGTGCTTCTTCACTCATAGGCTTCTCTGATAAACTGGATTTCCTTGAGGGTGATCAGAAATCCGTCCCACAGGGCACAAAGGCAGCAGCTAAAGCCCAGCAGATGAAGAAAGGGTAAGAGGTTTTTGGTTTGGTTCTGTGATGTGTAGTGGATGGGAGGACCTTCACAGGAGTGGCTTCTGAGTTGAGAGAATGCAGCTGCAGATTAGACCCAACAATTATAGCACCATGTGATGGATCTTTTTAGCTATATCAACCTTTGAAGATGAAAATAAAGTACTTGGTTTATGTTAAGTGAACGCTGAAGCATCATGTGGTTCCCCATCACACAATGTGTTAGTTAAAAGCACACATCTAGGGGTCAGATCTGGATTCTGCTGCTCATTAGTAGGGTAGCTTTGAGGAAGTCACTTGTTAATTGCCCATTT